GGTGTCGTCTCATCAACGTCATTCGTGCTACACCATGCTTTTTCGCGATTGCTTGATACGAGAATTTATCTTCTGGTTCTCGCGATTCGATTTCTGCAATCGCTTCTTGAATCGGGTCCATATTGGTTGAGTTTTGACGCGTTGAAGTTTTGTTGTTGTGGTGGTGGGGGTGCTCAACTGGCGATGGTGCTCATCTGGTGCACGGGCACTGTAGCCTAACTAGGTTAACGGCGCTATAGTAACTGTAATAAGACTAGGCACAACGCTTGTACGTGCTAAAAAGATATAGTAGAAGATTCTAAATCTAATATAAGTGTCTTATACAAAGGATTAGTTTGTAGTATTAAGTAATTTAATTGTTTGTACATAGTGTTCGCAGTGCCAAGAAAAAGTGGCCGGCTCACTGGTTTGGCCGCCTCACTGGTGTAGTACGTTACATAAAAAAGAAAATTATTATCAAGAGAGACAATTGTAAGTTAACGCGTGTTAAGATTGGATCTTGAGTAGAAGTTATGTAAGACTTCTAGTGTTAAGACTCTAAGGTTAGTTTTTATTAATGAAGTAATAGGTGTAAGAGGCTCGCGGTAGTAGGTAGGTGCTAAAGAAACAATTAAGGATTCGATGCCAGGCTATCTACGGGGATGTTAGGCATACTTATACTTCTACCTTAAGGGTGTACCTCCACTTTTAAGGTATCTCTACTTACTCCCGCTTTAGGGCTCTTCTACTTACCTCTACTGTCTACCTTAAGGAGGCATTTCTACTTACCTCTATTTAGGATTATCCTTGCTTATTCTAGTATTATGCCTCCTTGCTAGTAGTATAACTCTAAGTTAGTGGTCGCCGTTGTTCTACAGTTCTGCTGTAGCGTTCGTATCAGGCCCAGCCCGTAACAACTACCCTCCCTACCACGCCACTTAGAAAAGGAACGCGCTCTAATGCAAGAAATAGATCATTACGTGATTGAATATATGCTTCAAGAACTTAACGCTACACTTCAGCTTAATCCAGCCTAGTATGAACTAGAGCACTATCCATGTAAGCATACTCAAGTGACATGTAAATAGAATTGAATTACAGCTATAACTTAGATTGATCTAGAACATGCTTAGTTGAAGACTACGCTTTGAAAAATACAGAGATATTTTCTTTTTTATATATTGTTGTCGAGTGTTCTTCACCTCTAGCTACGTAGGTGCTTGGTGGCTATACAGGCTCTATTACTAGTAGTCTGATAGTTATTCTAACCACTTTCTTAGTATATAGATCAAGTATTCGATAGGTGTTTGGAAACGTGGTAGTATTCTTTTAGATAGTATTGTATATATTATTGTTGTATCTTCTCTCTACTTCCTGGTTTTATACCAGCCCCTTGACACTGTCTGACTACCATTCAGTCACTAGGGTATTATGCCTAGTTACTCTACCACAATATTACTATAGTTGAATCTCTCCAACACATAGAAATCTCATTTGGATCGTGCTATAACAAGGGTGTGAAGCTAATCAACCTTGGATTAACTAATACGGAATAGGCGATAACAGGACCAAACACGCGGTAATATTTCTAACCGCTCTTCTGAGTTTGTAGAGAATAACCCTAAGAATAAGTGCTTTATCATCGCGGAGCAATACTAGCGATAGCGTGACATTAGAGATACTAAAATCGCAGATTCTTTGCGGCATGCGGGGACTTGCGTGTCGCAGGGGGGGGGGAGACGTTATAACTGATATTCCTCCAATCAGTAAAACCAATGAAAAATTTAACTATACTTCAAAACCTGCTCCCAAGTGTTTCCTCCCGCTCCGCAACCAGTGCATACACCGTCATCCTTGCAGGGCGAATTACTCGCCTTAATCCTGGGCCCAAGTCTGACTTGAGATTGCGCGGAGAAGAACTCCCCCCCCCCGAGTCAGTCAAGGTGTTACTATCCGGGACATAGTGCCATACCTACATGGATGGAGCAGCCGGATAATTAACGACTGGGGGAGACAAGGTCTTACTGAACCTACAAGGGGACCACAAGGTTCGCGAAATCTTACTAATAGCGACACAAAGGGGCCAGGGTGGGGGAGGCATTAAATAACCAACATATGGAGTGCGCGAGTCTTTTTCGTCAGGTGATGACATGACATGACGGCTTCACCCCTGGTTTGCGACTGTCACGGGGACGCGAGTATGATGTGGTATCGTATGTTTAAACTACTCGCGTTCTGGTGGCAGCGACTCTTTGCCGCGATATCCTGACTTTAATACAACAATGACTATGTGCAAATGATGACGGTCGCTGGATCTCATTGCTGCTGTCGCTGTGGGAAGACAACGAAGCGTGGCCGACAGATATCTCTGCTACGGGACGACGCGTGCATCTGCATCTTCAAACAGTCTTGCCTGGGTGATTGTACTTTTTGCGTAGGCATGAGGCGGACGACAGCAACTAGCCTACCCAGCGAGTATCACATGTCTCACAGCACATTTGTAGCACTATTTATGACCATGAATAATAAACGATAATAATTGTGTATATACTTGCTGTTCCACACCTTGCTTGTCATAACACTGCCTAATATTAGGCTAAGGCTTTGTACATTTTGGCTTTATCCACGTAGCATGTATCGGTCCCAGTGCGTAGGTACGTACGCATGGGATTATAAAAAATAGACAATAAAAACTAGCCTGACAAACGCCGCCGTTCTCAATCTAACAAACCCTTCGGTCCCGTTGCAAGGGGACCAGCCCGACCCAGCTAGAACCCCCCCTGTTTAAACTTGGAACCACGCACTTTCTCCCCCGTTTTGGACGTGCTATGTTTTTACAAGGCGACGGCCATGAGACCAGCGACAAGGGCAGCGAATCCAAACTCGACCTTGCCAGCATCGTTGTGGTGGGTACCAGGAACGCTAGCCGGACCAGTAGGGCTGGTAGGAGACTTGGGACCGCCAGTCGCAACGGGAGCAGTGCCGTTGCGGCCAGAGCTGCCATGAGAGCCGCCAGAGGCAGTAGGGTACAAAGAGTTCATTGTGGTTCCAGCTGTGCCGGTGGGCTTCTCAGCCGTGCTGGTAGGCTTCTCAGACGAGCCGGTAGTCGTCTTGGTGGAGCCAGTGGGAGAGGCTACATTGGAAGCTGCACAGAAACGTCAGCAATCGTCTTCTCAAGCCGTCGTTGTCTTTCTCCTTGTCTCCCCGCCAAATCACACAGTAGTACAAGACTCACCAATCTTGATGTCCTGGCCATTGCAGATATCAGCAAGGGCCTGCATAGCAGCCTGCGTATCGTCACCGCAGATCTTGGCGATCTTGGCGCTCAGGGATTTACACCTAGGCCTCACGCCCTCTATCACGACAAACTCTCGACCTCCACGCCCCCCCCCCCCACCGCCTCGTCGCCCTCTCGTCTTTTTTGTTTTTATTGCTGTGCTTGTATCATACCTAGCGACGGAGTTTATGGCGCATTGCAGCATTGCCGGTAGGACATTGTAACAGTCCGCTGGCGGGTGCTTGCTTGCTTCCCAGATTGGATATCTGACGGAAGAATTGAAATGTGATCTCCGGAGCCATATTGGATTACATGGGATAGATTACCATATCTCCACGCGGGTTAGTATTGGATTTCCTGCCCGGTCTGGTCTTTTGTAGGCTGCGCATCCCGAGAGGACGGATGCGATACACCTTTGTAATACTGCTTCATGCACTTGGTCGCCTCAGGCTGGCACCCCGTGCAGCAACCTGTTCAGGAATAGCGAGCTTCCTTTTTTTGTATAATACCGCTTTCGAAGCATACGAAGAGCAAGAAAACAACAACAATGGTGGAAAGGGTCTGGCGCCTTAGGAGTGCCGATTGTACAGAAAAGAATCAATGTTTGCATCAGCAACACACTTTACGCGCCACTACTTGATAGTGTCCAGACCGGCATGTCACAAGCAAGCCATCCAAGCCACACGGTGGGTGACATCTGTCATGGAGAACGACCCAATCACAAGTGTTTTGAAACTTTGTTCCTGACAAGCCCTGCTAGCGTGCATCATAAATAGACAAGCGAGCGGCCGCGGGCTTGGCACCCCCCCAGAGAGGCGAGCCCCCTGATGCGCTTCTTTGATCGAGACTTTTGAGGCTTCTCCTCTTTCCCTCCTTCACCACCGCTCTTTGTCGCGCATCCATTCTTTCCAGATTGCTTCTTCGTCGTCACTCGCTAGACCGAACTGCCATCGATACGCGCCACACCACCCACTCGTTATTAGCATTCCAAATTCGTCACCAGCCCGTCTTTATCCGCCGTTCAAGCCTAGTCTCCCTCCTATCCGCCAACATGCTCGGCCGCACCGTCTTTGCCGCGACCTTCCTCGCGCTTGCTCAATTTGCCCTCGCGTCCCCTCCTAGCTGTCTGCTTGGCGCTGCCAGCCAATACAGTGACCCATCCGATATCAAGAGCGCGTGCAAGGACAAGGAATGAGGTATGTATTTCGGGGATGCCATTGGTGTCTGGTCCAAGCATGGACGGAATGGGCTTGCGCCGGGCTTTGGCCTGAGGTACACGAGGTACGCCCTGAATAACGCGCGGCTCTTTCATAAGTGTAGGATCGAGTTTGGCAGGAACTACGAGGTTGTTAGCATGGCTCAATGGACGGATTGCATGGCACGTACTTCGGCTGACCACAGAGCGATAGTCGCCTGGAAAGCGTGCGTTTGGCGGAGTCGCAGCGGCAGTACGCCATAGGTGGTTTGTTGTGTCCGACAAAAAGTCTACCTTGGACTTGTAGAAGAACGACGACTTGCCGCGGTTGCGCTTCGCTAGGATGACCTCATCGAAAAGTTTGATCGAAGGATCATCGGCCGGCTTGCTTTCACGCTCATGAATGAATTCGTTAAAAGCTAGAGGCTGGTCAGCCATTTTCTGATCAGAGGACGCGGAACAACGAACCTTGCGTCTGCTGCAGTGTAGTAATGTATTGCACATTTTCGGCCGGCAGGCTCTTGACAAAATCATCCATCTTGAACTCGTAATTCATACCAGACTTCTTGCGCTCGCCAGTAGCCGGAACGAGGTAGCGCCGATAGGTATAGAACAGGCTGGCAAAGCATCGAACAAATGACGCTCGCACTTGATCCGGACGAAAGGCAGTGGGGCATACGATGCAAATGGATTCCACACATCTACCATGGGCAAACATGCTACAGCCTAGACAGGGGTGGTCAGAATGGTCTGCTACAATTAGAAATATGCGAAACTCACCAGTACAGCGATACAACCCGTCGTCCGACTTTTCGTCACAGACAGAACAGGTCGCGCGATCTTCGTTTGGCCTCCATTGCAGACAATGACCTTCCTGCCACTGGGTGGTGGAGGTGTTGCGAACTTGCTGCATCGCCATACCCGGCATGATTGTCGATGCGGCTAGCGTCGACTGCGCATAAACCGATGGCGCGTACGAAGACCCGGCCTTGTACTCCTGACTCAATGAGGAGGTGGACGCACTCGGCGCGTGGCCAAGGACCGGCTGAGAGGGGCGCCGAAGTGGAGGCACGCGTTCGAAACCAAACTAGTAATGTTAGTCAATGGGGCAGTCAACAGAGTACGCAAACCTAGACTTACCGAGGAGCTGCGCCGGCTTGAGGCGTCGAAATGCGCGGATCGCTTTTCACGTAGGTTGGCTTGCAGCGCGTAGCCGGAATCACTGCGAGATATCGGCGTACTTGGCATGGGCGGGAATACGGTGGAAACGGGAGAAATCTTGGGTGAGGGTGGAGAGTGGTGCGTCTTGATGGTCGTGGCCGTGGATGGCCTGTCGCTTCCGCGACTGGAGGCGCTCGATTGCACAAAGGCATTGAAGACCAGAGGCCTCGAGCTAGACGGCCCAATCATTGTGCCAAATGATGTCGAATTCATTCCGACATAGTTTTGTATCGCCAGAGGATGTGCGCGGTGTGAGAACACGCCAGGATTCTCCGAGGCGAATGTGTCGAATGGGAATGCCTCTATGGCATAAGCAGGTGGTCCAGTGGGCACGCCAAACTGTGTGTGGTGCGGCGCAGACTGCTGGAGCAGGGACATGAGCTTCCGCCGCTGCTGGCGAGGCAGCGGTGGCGGCGGAGGACCATTGGATACGATGGAGTTTGCGTCTAAATCAACTAGTACATAGTCGTCATCGGGATAGTCGGTGGGCTCATAACGACGCTCGATTCCAACAATATAGGGACATGGCGCCTCGATGGTTTGGATGAGGCGAGCAGGCAAGATAGGGATGAAAACGCCGGTCCATTGGAAGGGATACATGAGGTTGGTCAGTGCCATGCTCGCAAGATGCAGCATGGCTGTGTGAGAAGAAAGGAGGATGATCCTAGCCTCGGCGAGGACATACTCGAACAGGGTGATGACGTTCGGGTTTGACAGGCAGCGGAAGAGGGCGTAAATGTCAATGTTACGGGATCCCGGTAACTCGTTGACAGCTTCCTTGCGAGCATACATGCGAAGCTCTCGGATCGAAAGCTCAACCTGGGTAATCGAAGTGATCGGACTAAGAGCCTCTGCACACAGGTTGACCACGTATCGCTCGAGCGGCTGCCACATGCCTACACGCGGTGAGCTTGGTGGGACGCGAAGGACTCCACCGTTAGTCATGGGCACGGCGACAGCCTTCAGCCACTCTTTCCAGAAAGGAGTGAGACTCGCGTCACGCCCCAAGATACCATACGCACGGGGAATCCACAGGCCGGTTTCTCCGTCGGTAAGACCTTCAATCTTGGAGGCGGCACCATGCCTTACCGGGCGGAGCAGGTCTGTCATGAGCTGGATCTTTTCCTCCACTGCGCCAATTTCATCGTCGAGCTTCTCACGCTCGTCCGAGTCAGGGGCTACAGACGGAAGTTTGGTCAGCAGTTGCGACAGCTTGGCACGCTCCAAGGCCAGGCGCTCGCCCAAGCTGCTTGCGAGTTCGCGCTCCTCGGGATTCATGTGCAGGTTTCGCCATTCTTCGCATTGGCGTTCAAGGCCTTCGGCAGCCGTGGCATTCAAGGGAAGCCACACAATCAGGCAGATTCCGTAAAGCTTGGATCCGTCTCCGTTGGTCATGGCAAATCCGTGCCACAAGCTCTTGGGCCGCTCGTCAGATGAGACAACACTGACATCGTTTGGAAAAGCAAACATGGGCACATAGTCTGGAAAAGGGTTGCGCCTCTTGAGCTCCTCAACCATGTTCCTCGGAGGATAGCGATCCAGCAAAACAGGCTCGTACCGACGGAGAAGGGGGTGCATGTCCGGGTCCGGTTGGAAGGGCTGCGGTGCCGGTATCACAGAGTTGTACCCGGACATGCGCTTTGAGGTCCGGATCGAAGCTACATCCTAGTCAGCAATCGGTGATGCAAAAAAAAAGCAAAGAATCCCTGTCGTGTCATGCAGAATGTCACTGATGCATTTATGCCAGTTTGGGAAAAAAAATGTCGTGTCGACTTACACTGTCTTGCGGTCGACGGCTGCCTCTTGAGGCTGCTCTGCATGGTGGAGATGCGCCGCCGAATACTTCCAACACCGGACCGGAGGTTACCAACACCATCTTCGGTGTTGGTTTGTGACACCCGCTGAGGTCGCGGACGGGGCCTGGCCGGAGTGGAGCGAGATTGGTGTGCAACACCGGCGGTGAACTGTATCTCTTCGAGGAATGAATCGCGCTCCGAGGCAAATTTGCGCAGGGCAATGTCGAATTCCTGGTCGCTCAGGCCCGAGCCGCCAAGCTGCAGGCCCTTTATGGTGGCACTGCTTCGATTGCTCCCGGTGGGCTTTGCGTCTGGTGCAATGATTGTGCCGACAGATTGGCGGTTCTCGCTGAAACGATTCCTCGACCTCGACCTCGACCTTCCCCTGTCGCGGGTCGACAGGCCGTCTCGTGAGGTTGGGCGGATCGAGTCTGTCTCTAGGGCGCGGTCCTCTTCAATCGTCTCGTCGACGGGTGGCTGTGCAAGCGGGGAGGTGACAATGACGCTGTTCTGGGAGCGCTCGTCGTAGACCTGCGAAGACTCGATGCCGGATATGAAGAAGTAGTCGGCGAGCGGGTTCGTGGGCTCATCGGCCGTGGAAGAGGGAGCGGGCGCCATGATCGGTGGTGGGCATAGGATATCCAAAAAGACGGGCGGTCAAAGAGCGTGTGGGTTGGGCAGCGCGGGGAGGGCGTGGTTGGGCGTCGGGTCGCCTTATTCCTCTATGTCATTGGGGGTTTGGACACCGGTTCCGAGGGCTATGTGTTGCGTGGCGGGCAGCGCGAGGGTTATTATGCACGGCAGAGGCGAGCTGGTGCGACAGTGAGGGCCAGACAGAGGTGCACCGGCGCCGAGAGCGAGGAGGGGGGAGGACTGCGGCGTGATGACCGGAGAGCCTGGCCGGGAGGGTAGACAGGGTAGTAGGTGAAAGGTGGGGAGCTAAGAGTCGCAGCGAGCAGCGGCAGGAGGAGCAGCAGCGGCAGAAACAGCAACAGCAACAGCGGCAAAACGGGCGGGGGCGGCGTTTGTGCTGGAGGTGGAGGGAGTAGGAGGCGGCGGTGGAGGTGGTGGCGAGGTCAGACGGGGTGCTGGTCGCTGACGGGCACAAGAAAAAGAGTGAGAGCGAGGAGAGGGCTGGTGGAGAAGGGTTCATGGCACACGGCGCGCGGTCACAGGGCATTGAAAAGGACAGGCTTGGGTCCAAGTGCCCTCCCTCCCAGTTGGAGCAGCTAGTCCATATTTACCGTCGCCGCAGGGCCTACTCCCGCCTTGCACTTCTTATCGCTATCCAAAGGCCGTCCTCTTAGCGCTCGACAGCTTTCCCGCGCCCAGCATTTGCCCATTCCCAGCCTGGTGCACCTGTCTCTGCATGCACGCAATGGGACGCGAGGCCGCCGCGGGGGCCGCTGCCGCCAGCGCTGTGCCCGTATATATGCAAGGCACTGCCGCTAGCCGCAGAGTGCAGAGTGCCGACTGCAAGTGCATTATGCTCTGGACGCCGCCGTGTGTGCCCGTCTGCGTGTGTGCCTGGCTGTCGCTCTCTCTCGCACACCTTGTCCCGCTCACACGTGAAGGGGGGGCGTGTTCCACGGTACGGTCGCGACAAGACAGGATATGTACGAGGGGCGCACGGGCGCGGCGTTGGTGTGCCGGCCACCCCTGTCGGTTGCTGGCAGACCCTGTACTCGGAAGGCTCGACCAGGGGAGAGCCGCCTACAATAGGAAAGCACGGCCTGCGTCCTTTCCCGTCTTGTGCGCGGCTGCCATTGGCTGGCTATCTGCGCTGCCTCTTGGTCAGGGGTCGTCGAGTCGGCGCACCAACACGACTGTGATTAAGACGTGTGTATACGGCAGTGTTGGTGTGCCCGTCTGCACTGCGTATCACACGCTGCTGTGGCCAGGGCAGGGAGAATAGGGGCGCGGTTGTGGGCAGAGGAGCGGGCGCGCGGGCGAGCGAGGGCGCGCGGAGCACAAAAGATTCGCTATGCGCCTCCATGGTTCGCTACACCTACGCTGCGCTGCACTATTGCAGTGTACACTAAATAGCATTTACACGCACACAGGCACACCCGCGCGCGCACACAGGCACATACACACAGATGCACATACACACACCTACACATACACACGCACACACGCGCCTGGCAACCTGTTCCAACGTCCCAGGACAAAGAAAACATGCGGCCCCACAGCCGCCTGCAAAGAGCCGCGCATATTCCCCCCCGGCGGCGGTGCTACAGGCTGCACATTCTGCACAGGCTGCACATTCTGCACAGGCTGCACAGGCTGCACACGGCTTGTTCTTCTCCAGTGCTTCGTTATGCATGTACACAGCAGCAAAGGATGCGGGCCCTGACCGCCCTCGCAAGCCGCTGTTATGGCGGTTGCCATGACGGTTGCCGCTCCAGCTGCCCTCGTCGCGCACCGCCCCATGGCCAACCAACCTATTAGCCAGAGCCGTCATCTCTTCTCCAGCCTTGGGTGCTTGCGAATACAGCCGGCGACATGGCCCAAGGCAGTCTATCGACATGTCGATCTCGCTGCGTCGTGTCGATCTCGAGACGCAGTCCTGAAGGCGGCATTGCGCGCATGCAGCCCGCCGCGCCCAGCCTGACGACGACGACGACGACGACGACAACAACAACAACAACTACACCCACCACAGGCACAACGCGCCTACACCTACTCGTTGCTGCACGCACACCGGGCGATTCCCGCCCTCGTGCCACGGCGCTGCTCGCGGTGCCACGGCCATGAAACACGACTGTACGTACGTACATATAGATAGAAGCTGCCCCGGCCTTCTGGCCTCGGCACCACCATGGCCCAACTGACTCTGCGTGCTTCCACCAATGGCGCCGCGGCGTCATGTCCACGTCGCCTGCCGTGTCCCGGCAGCCTGAGCGTGAGCCTGACAGCGTTTGGGGTACCTGGTCCCCCTTTGCCGTGCTCTCTTCAGCCCTGAGCAAATCCACCGCCACCCAGCCCGCCGCCTCGCCCTCTGCCTCTCGCAAAAGGCCTCTGCTCCACCCGCATCGCGCCTGCTCGACGCCTCGCGCGCCAAGTCGCTGACGCAATGCCGCCATATTGCTTTCTCGAGGAGAATTCCATCCGCGCTGCCCACGTGCATACCGTCGCCCGGCCGTGGCTGGGGCTGGGGCTGGGGCCTGCGCTGCATTCGCTTCGCCTGCCGATCGCTCCGAGAGACCCTCCCTCGCCCTCCGCATCCCGGTAGCCCTCTGGCAAGCCACCAGGGGACGCCATGACGTCCGCCCACACAGTACAGTCACAGTAGTCGCAGCCCTCCCATCCCCTCCCACCTGGCACCGCTATACATGCTCTCTTATACCCAACGCAATCTCCCGCAGAGCCGCAACAATGCCTGGCCAGCTGCCATTCTCGTCCCCGCCACAACATGGATGCGCCCAATGCATCCACACCACGACCCTGCCTGCCGCTTGCTTTTGATGCCTAATCTCGCAGCCCCACGACGCTCCAATCATCCGCCATGCTATTCCTCGGAGCTGCTTCCGACTAGCTGCCACCCTAATCCGCTCCCCGGCGACCTCAACAACCGCCTCTCAAACCGTCGGCACGAGTGTTAATCCGCTCGTCCACAACTGGTTGCGCCGCTCGTCATCTACATGTCCGTCACCCAAACCTTATCGAACAATGTCATCCTGACCGACGAGCCGTCAGCCATCCCGTGCTGAGCGAGCCCCTATCACCCAATGCACTGCGCCATTGTATCGCCAGCTGGCCCAGCACTCTCTTGTCGTCTTCCGTCTGCGAGTCCTCGACTTCGCCCTCGTCCCCGGCTTGCTGCTCGACCAGGAATGCTACCTGCACCACATCGCGCGGGTTCAGCACCGGCGCATTCACCCCTGGCGACTGCAGATCCCAGTTCAACGACGTCGATTTCAAGGGTGGTTTCGGGTTCACGTCAACGGCCTGCTCGGTGTCAGCTCTAAAAAAAAGGGTTTGACATGTTCCGGGCGTGTGGTTGTTGTGGTAGGCTATTCAAGCTGTGCTATAGCCCCAGGATCTACGCGTGCGACGGAATGCCGTGTTTACGATCGAGCTAACCACTCGAATCACCACGCTTAGAGCACTCCAGGAAAAGTAACATAGGTCTGACTCGTTGCCGGGGGGTCGGGCAAAAAGGAACCATACCGTGACTCAGAAGCCATTGGCAATAGTGACGTACCTCTAAACACACGCCCGCCTCCCCCATGTTTTCCAATTGCGCCTCCAAGAGGTATCTGCGCGACCCGCCCTTGGGGCTAATCTCGCCAGCTTTGGTCCTGACGCTCAGTAGCTGCTGCGCCACAAACTGGTACAGTTTTCGAAAAGTCCGAACGCGTCCACTAGCTGCCTTTCCTTCTCCTAGAGCCGTCTCCGTGTATGTGACCGTCACCGCTAGCACATGGTTCCCCTCCTCTTTCAGCTCGAACCTTAGGATGCGCTGCAGCGACTCCCCCGGCCCCGGACTTGTGTCTGTGGCTTCTTCAGCTATGCCCGTCAGGTCCAGCGGCGATCCGGTAGGGTCGGAAGGTGTTTGCATGTCCCCCTGCATTCGCACCCCGCTGATTGCTTTTGTACTGTCCGCCGCATCCACTTCGTTGTTTGCACAAAGCGTACACGAGAACGTCTCGCCGACATACGCGCTTCCGAATGCTTCAGGAAGGTTCAGCACTGGGCTGAGAATGAACGCATCGTCCGTGTTGCTTGCTGAGGGGTAGGCCAGCGAGGCTTGGGGCGATATCCCCACGTCTTTGGAGTTGGGGAGCGGATGCTGCGTAGCAAGCGTTGGACGAGATAATCTGAATTCCATCAGTGAGCGGTACCCTTGATGAACAGCTGCCGTAGATGCGTGTCGACGACGTCGTTCATCGATCGCGCCCCATACGGAGGGCTGTTCCGACACGCCCTGCCGTGGGCACCGACGTCGTAGAGCTGCCTTTGCCCAAGCCATACGTACCGCAGCACCTTCAAGCTCACCGAATGCGCTGCCTTGAGCGAATCTCCCATCCCATGTCCTCGCTGTTGAGCCATGTTCGGCGGTCGTTGTGTTGCAGGTTCACTGAGGTTGCGACAAAGGCCGTGGGCTCAAGCTCAAGTGGGGCGCACACCTCATCGTACAGGGAACGGCCTCTGCTGTCGGACCGCGGACTTAGCGCGGTGATTACTTAAAATTTGTCCAAAATCATGACATGATGTTGATACGGAAAACAGCCGTCACTATCGTGGCCGAAATTTCTTCCAGGTCTTCAGACATTGCAGTGTAGTATCTCTAATTTGGAGAAAAAAACAACAACAACAACATGGACATTGGATCAGGACAAGATGATGTTCACCTCGAACGCTGTCCGCATCTGGTCATCAAGGCCGACACCCCCAAAGGTGTGTGATTTATGCCAGCTGAGCATTCTTATGCAAGGCCATACATACTGATAGCGACGCACAGGGCGCGGTGTATTCGCAACTAGAAACATACCTGCGCATACCATTGTAGACATATGTCCGGTCTTGATCCTGGGAATGGAAGAAAATAAGCAACACGTAGAGCACACTTCGCTATACCACTACACATAGTAAGGGCCCATGCTCTTTTGATTCCAGCCCATCCTAGCTCCATGCCTACATCCGTGCGCCACACTCAAACATACCATACTCCCGGCTCGCTAGTGCCTAAATCACTATCGCAGCCACTCTTCCAAAGACCATCAAAGCCACATCGCAAGTCTACAAACCTAACATTTTCTAGCAACTGGCCACAAACAGACGTCCATGGAAACAACCAAGTGGCGCAAGCCGTCGTCTTCGGATTAGGAAGCATGTTCAACCACTCGACACAGGACCAAAATGTAGGATGGATGCGAGACCTGCGCCGCAAGGTCATCACATACCGAACTCTGAGAGACATACATGCGGGGGAAGAACTCTGTACGAGACAAACAAGAAAAAGCTCATTGAAAATCAGAACATGCTAATACGCAAAGGTATATCGTACGGGAGCCATCTAACCTTCAAGGATGCCGATGGTGTGCCTCCAACGCCACCCGATGAGGAAATTGAACTGTTAAGGATGATTGAGCCATATTAAAAGTACTAGACGTACAGGCGCCAAACGAAAGACTGGCTCCAATACGAAAATACCTCATAGACCGGGTAGTCATACCGAGGTGCGGCCGATAGCTACATGGAAGCTTGTGGCCTTGGCCGACATGCGTAACGAAGAGAATAGTAATCAAGTAGTGAGTGTTTCGGGTTTTTCGCTCGATGGTGTCGCGTCCGCGGAGCTGTCTTCTTCGGCTTCATTCCTCAGGTCATACGATAGGTCAAAACACTCTTCCAGAAGCTGTATGACACGGCCTTGGCCGTCTGGTATCTCATCGCCGACCATGAACTTTCCATCTACTCGCATGTTGTCGATGGAGTTTAACTGGCTCCAAGTCAGCATCCAGAACAACGTCTTGTCCAAAAGGCACACAGACCTTCATGCTGTATGGATACAATTCTCTTGGCGAAGACACGCCACCCAGCTTCTTTACTTCAAGAAGGCATTTCCGAAGAGTAGTAAGTTGGTTGTAGATTGGCAACAACGCTTCAGAAACCGGCTCTGATGTTAAGAGCAGCTGGTAGATGAGCGAATAACTTTTGCGCAGGAGGTACAGTAGTGTCTTCAGAATGTTAGCCCGTCAAAGCCTACTAGTGTGCAGTACACATACTCTTTGCTCGTAGATTTCGGCTGGTCGTCCCACTGGATCAATGAAGTTGCCATCAACTCGCGCCTCGTCTATGCGATCCAGTTGGCGCTGAAAGTCCCATAGATCCGTCTCACGGAGGGACCAAGCTTGCGTAAGAGTGAGCTTTTCAAGCTTGTTTCGGATGCCGAGGAGCTTATCGTAGGTGTCCTTGAAAGCAGGTGCTATACGCCCTTGCCTACCAATGCATTAGCTAATGATAGATGGATGTGGAGAGCAACTCACTTTTGCTGGATTAGAGCAATCCAGAGCAAATTTCGCCGTAAAAGGGTGCCAATGAGAGTCTCAGCGCCCGGTGCTGGTTCGGGATTGTCTTGGGCCAATTGCATCTTGTCAACCATTTCAGCTAGCTTCTCTTCCGTCGAGCCAGTGGTCTCGTATGCATGGATGCCATATTCTTTCAGTTCATCTTTTATCTTAATCAACTCCTGCAGGTACTCCTCGATTTCATCATGGGGAAACTGGGACTTTGGTAAGCAAGCGTGTGCGACGCCTTGTAGAGATACCAACTTTCGATCGTGCATTGCATCCACAAGTCGATCTCAGTATCGATACGAGCTTCTCCCATTTCGGTATCAGCTCGGGAGTGAGCTCAGATAGATTGAGTTTCAGTTCTGCTAGCGTCTCCTCGCAAACCTTGATACGGGCATCAAGAAGAGTAAGGAGGTGGGGGCTGTAGCGTTCTCGACCTTGTTCGACATATTTCCGGCAATCTTCTAGGTTCTTGTCAAGCGCCTCGAGATCCTTCTGTGAGTAGAAAGTGGCTTCCTTGAGGTGATCCAAGAGGCGCTGTATATCGTTAGAATCGAAAACATGGGAGACTGAGTGCTTCGCCTACTTTGACTGTTGAGATGTATGAGTACCTACGACGGCATTAGTTTCGACCGGATGACGCGTGGTCGAATACGTACACTGCAGGTGGCTCGTGGTTCTTCCCAACCGTCAGATATGCAAGCGAGATAAGCTGAAAACAATCATCAAGCATATAGTCAACTACGCAAACAAGTCAACAACTCGCCGCTGTATCGGGTAAGTGACAACGTGACATACCCTTGTTCTGCTCGAGACGCTTTGCTTCGCGTATCTCGTTGAGAACTATGACCTGCTCGATAACCTGGTCGTAAAGCTTCAGGACATCTTGGCTCTTGACATACGTTGACCGATCGCGCTTCAGCAACTCGAGCTCGGTCCGTATGGCCTGCAGTCTGTCGAGAATAGGCTGCTCCTTCGGATCCAGCGGAATCCGCGGTAGGGGAGAGTCGGTCATCGTGGGCCGCAGGTGTTTTAGTAGGCGATGCCTCAGTCGATCCTTGGGTGGGCAGGAGAGAGACTAACTCGATGGCTGGTGAGGGCGGAAGTGCAGCGATATGCGAACTTGCACGGTAGCCGGGCGGAGGGCCAAGATGCAGGCAATAGCGGGGAAGATGCCCGGACGTCACCGAGGGGCATCGGCGACGCCCCATCCCAAACAGGCTAGGCGCTGCTAAGCGAAGGGCTCGACTAGCGCCTTCCACACCATCAATTGAATTCAGCATCGTTGAAACCACCACCACCTCGACCTCACGACCAATCTCACGATCACCACCGTCGCAATGTCTACCGCCGAGCTCGCCTCCTCCTACGCCGCTCTCATCCTCGCCGATGACGGTGTCGACATCACTGTACGACTGCCGAGGTGCATCTGCAAAATTACGGGCACAGTGGCTAATTTGAACAGGCCGACAAGCTCCAATCTCTCATCAAGGCCGCAAAGATCGAGGACATCGAGCCCATCTGGACTTCCCTTTTCGCCAAGGTGCGCCCCTGCGAAGCCGCTGCGGCACGGAATATTTTTCTGATGTGTGAATTAGGCTCTTGAGGGCAAGGATGTCAAGGACCTGCTCCTGAACGTTGGCTCAGGCGGCGGCGCTGCTGCCCCTGCTGCCGGCGGTGCTCCCGCTGCTGGCGGTGCCGCCGAGGCTGCTCCCGCGGCTGAGGAGAAGAAGGAAGAGGGTACGTTGACCCATGTGCAGATGCGGCATCGGATTGGCCCACTAACCTGCCTACAGAGAAGGAGGAGTCCGACGAGGACATGGGCTTCGGTCTCTTCGACTAAGCGTCTTCTTTCCCTTTCTTGCTTCGACATTTGCCTTTATCGGGGTTGCACAACGGATTCATCAGCGGGTATATTCCCATTGCTGGGGTGGACATAGTCACGACCTCTCCGTGACCACGGTTTTGCACACGGGCCCTCCCCGAAAGAAACAAAGACGGCGTCATGAGATATGTTAGGTCGGCAGGTCAATGAATACTTCGAAAAGCGCAATGTCGGGAGTCTCGTCGTGATACCCTAGGTGATGACACTGGGCGAAGAAATGCCTTGTCTTCAGAGGCTTCTCCAGTCGTCCGTACTTTTGCTATTGCAGTAGTGAAGTCAAGTTACCTTTGCCAACCCCACCCGGTCGCTGTTATTAGTCACAGTAGCGTGAAGTGCTTTCTGATTTACATGCAATACCGGGACTCCACTGTTATCCACATAGTCCTTGGCATGGTCACGCCAGTCACACGTGTGGTAGCCTTCACGCGCGCTAGTCATGAGTCCACGTTCCGCATGCTTTCCTGGAGCGAAGCGCTGTTGTCTAGTGCTTTGATGGTGCACCCCGGGGAATAGTTGGAATCATAGGGTTATGTAACTACTCGAGTGGGAAAGTATCAAGTTTCGGATTCGATGATACTCGCAAGAGTGCGCATAGTTTTGCGCCATATTCAATGACATGCCCATAATGGCAATTTCAAATTCACAGTAACTGACATATCAGTTCGCAGCAAGATGCTGTATGCGCCTGGCCAATGCCTCATCCAGAAACGGTAAAAGACGGTTGAGTTATACATCGTACGCGCGCAGAAGCTCCTCATCATAAGTCATGCTGTTGATGCGCTTCTTTAAAAACTCGAAGGCGGTAAAGAAAATGGCGTTGACTATACAGGAGCGAGACATGGATACGCCCAGACCTGAAGTTTGTCAACATTGCGTCCTCAATTTCTTGACAAATCACCCTCACCTTGATACATGCGGCGATTGAAGAACTGGATTTTCGGGCGAGTGGCCTTGTCTCTTCCTCCCACTAGGCAGTTGCGCTGGTAAATGCTCTTTGCAGTGTCGATGGGGAATATCTAAAGTAATTATCAGAAACGCCCTGTTTCGCTTCGTCGGTGTACTTACACACGCCCAACTCACAAGTCCACAAAGCCCGCCTGCTATGACAACTGCCAGCGGATGTGTGGGTGATGTGCCACGAGCATTTGCCAAAACCTGTTTCACGCTTTCATATGTAACAAAATAGATGCCCGTGCCGATTGAATCTCGAACTATGTGGTGTTAGCCTGTGGCACGTCCTGCTTTCTGTGCTCCGGCTCACTCACGTAAATGCAGATGAAAGCCGGAATACAACCCCCTCCATCCTCGGTGCCTAACCAGATTTTGTGCCGTTTTCCAGGTTCCCAAATTCTGGTAACTTTTCCGTATCGCATCATTCTTGCCGCCGCCATCGTTACGCTCGGCCATCAGGACAGAGATTTGTGCGCTTAATTTGGTCAACTCAAACGGGCCTAGAGGGAGTCAGTTGGTCGCGCATAAGAGTGGCAGCGTTATGCCCGTACATGCAATGATTGTGATAGCTCCACCCGCATTGACGCCTGCCAGTCCAAAACATGTGACCGTCGAGAGCGTCGGCCATGCACCCTTGGTATTCGCAATCACAAGTGGCGAGCTTCCAGTAGTTTGGTAAATCCAGTTGTCAAGCGCATACTTGGAGCGCTGGTATATGGAGAAGGACACAGTGCGGACGAGGGTGATGCTTGCGAGAGGAGACCAGACACCTGTAAAGTGCGCGTTAGTGTGTATGTGATGCGACGGGGAAACGGGCAGCATACCACGGTAGAAGCCATGGAAGCCTTCGGTTCGGTAGGTATGTCGGACGCAGTCGGTGAAAGAGTTGAATTTGTATCTGTTTCGTGTTAGTGGTGCGCCGGAAGATAGGGGGAGGCAGGCGTACGCTTGCAGGCGGGTCTTGACCGAGTCCAGAGGATACTGGAAGCTATTAGCACCTCCAAAGTCGACGTGATTGCCTGGAGGACAGGATGACGCACGGCAGCAAAGGTAGAGAGGAGGCTGCTCGAGCTTGCCGCGACCTCAGTCCTGTACCGCTTGGTCCATCGCTTCGCCTGCTCGCTCCGCAGGACGGCACTCGAGATGTCGGTCAGATCACGGGGCCTGGGGGGAGCGCCTCTTTGTAGGGTTGGCCTCTGGTCCTCCTGCTTGGGCATACCGGCTATCGCTAGCTGTGGAAGACAGAGATGTCCTCCTACGGCAATCGCGATCGGGCCAGCAGCCAGGCAAGCTCCATGAAGGCCGATGCGTCGTCAGGCTCGATAGGGTTGCGGGATGTGCGCGACCGGTGCGGCGTGGAGCGGTTGGTGGCAGAGAGGGCGGGCGGGCGACAATGGCGGATGCTGCTGGGTGAGTACAGGGTCGGGGCGTGGTGATGGAATATGGTGGGGTTAAGCTCACGCTCGCTGCTCCAAAGCGGTTTAACGGCCTCGGACGCACAGGCTCATTGGCTGCATGGGCATGATCGACAACGACGACTGCGCTTCAATATGTCTCCCAGATCGCACACAGGCTGCCGTCAACGCGCGCGAAATCCATCGACACATTCACACGCCACGGTTTGGCTCTCTCGTGATTGCGCACGCCACCGCATAGCCAAACCCCGTGGCACAGTGCCATGCTGGAGGGCTTCGGCCATAGAATGCGGGGTTGGTTTCAGCGTGAAGCTCAACACTTACCCCGGCCCACATGCATCACCATAGCTTTGGCGAATCACAGTCTCGACACCAGATACGCAGCACACTGTGGCCCTCTTCCACGCCAGGCCCTGTCGTTACCCGAGGTCAAACAGCCCAGAGTACACCGGTGTAGCCTTGCACCTGGAGCACGCCGCGTGTAACAAGAGGCTACCGGCCGCGGACCATGGATTTTTCGCTTGACTCTAGTTCACCGGCCTCCGGAAATCGCCTCTTATCAGCGTCACATCAGACTAGACATGGCATGCCGAGACTCCAGTGCTACACGTGGTCTAATGTAGCGATGTGGCTTCAGCCAAAACCGTTGATTTTTCATGTATCAACGTGCCCATACTCAATCTGAGCCGAGGCGTCTGTAGGACTGCTACCCTACGCCGAACCGCTGCACAGCGGCATCAGTCTTTCTTGCCTATAATCTTCCTCAGCTCCGCTTCGTTGTCCGACCGCTCCGTCGAGACGTTTTGATTCTCCTCGACTTTTTGCTGTTTCTTCCTGCGGATATCTCCCATGAGCGCCTCTCCAAATGTTCCCCTGTCATCATCCACTCGCTCTATCTGCCCATGGCGCCTCAGGCTCTCTTTGTGCCAGCTGATCTGTCCTCCATCTGCTTCTCGGTGCTTTTGCGCATTGAGCTTGGCAGCACGTATTGATGTTCGAGCGTAAACGAAGAGGAGACCGGCCATGGTAAAGGCGGCCAGCGGCGCCATAACCGTCTATGCATTAGTCAGAAGACGATACACTCGAATTGAAACCGAAGATTGGTGTCTTACACGGCCGTTGATGATACCGCGATTCCGTGAAAGACGAGGAGGCGCATTGCCAGAGGTGGGTTTGGAAGCCTCGCTCATGCCATCAGCGGCTTTGGGCATAGAAAGCCTGCCTCCCATCCTGGAGGGTCTTGTGTGCAGGTCGATACACGTAGATTTGGCTGTGTGCGCGAGGACGTGCGGCGTGTTAAAGCTCGCCGCGGGGATGGCGTGATGTCTTTGGGGGGCGGCAAGTGTGCGTTAGGATCCAGGATCCAGGAAGATTTGTATAGTTTCCGCCTGTTGGCATGTTTGACCAGCCAGCAGCCGCAAAGTCAAACTCACATGAGTGAGGATACAATTGCGCTTGAGAAGACGCGTGCGGATGTTGGGGCTCCAAAACGATGAGGTAATCGCCAGAGCAGCTGGTCGCAAGCGGCATAGTGCCGATGTGGCTTTGCTAGTGCACCGAGGTCGCGTCATTGTCTGTTCAGTCTTGGTTGCAGATTCGCAAAATCGCAAAACTCTTGCATAATCAAGCGGCAGACATCGGCTTGCCCGCTGGAGTTGCCCTGCAGTTGTAGGTCAGCCCTCGCATCATCCATTGCCTCTGTCCGGCAATCTTTTCGGAGGCGATACAGGAGAACGGCGCTGCCGCATGACCACATGTGTGATTGAGGCTTACTAAGTCATCCAGTCCAGTCTTTGGCTACAGTGTGTATTTGCAATCCAGGTGTCTTGCAGCCGCATTACAAGTATCCGCTGTCACCCGGCCTGCGACTTTAATGCAAAGATCTACGGGTTATAGGCTGCGAGCTCTGTCGGCGAGTCTCCGAACCATTACCCCTCCACCTGCCCGACAGACCATCCTGTCCCGCTCGCCCTTTCACTCTCCCCGAACCACAGTGGCATCCGCACGCCTGTCCAACCTCTCCTCGCACTTCTCCACAACAAGCCCCAAGATGTCGACCGAGACCAAAGAGTGTGATTACCTGGTTATTGGCATCGGTAGCGGTGGCATTGCCTCGGCTCGACGAGCCGCCAAACATGGCGCAAAAGTCATTGCCATTGAATCCAAACGATACGGCGGCACCTGCGTAAATGTCGGCTGTGTGCCCAAGAAGGTCACCTGGAATGCAGCAGCAATTGCAGAGACCTTCAGGGACGCGCGCTCGTACGGCTTCCAGATTGGCGAGGTACCAGACTTTGACTGGCCGTACTTCAAGAAGAAGCGGGACGACTACGTCACACGTCTGAACGGCATCTACGAGAACAATCTGAACAAGGATGGAATCGAGCACATCCGGGGACGTGCAAAGTTTGTCGCAACGGACGAGGTCGAGGTTGCGTTGAATGAAGGGGGCACTCAGCGCATCAAGGCCAAGCACATTCTCATTGCGACTGGCGGACGACCAAAGCTCCCTGATATCCCCGGAAAGGAACTCTGCATCGACAGCGACGGGTTCTTCGAGCTCGAGAAGCAGCCAAAGAGTATCGCAACAAGCGGCGCAGGATACATTGGTGTCGAGATGACCGGCATGCTCCACGCTCTTGGCTCGAAAACGCACTTCTTCATCCGTGGCCAAACGATGCTCCGAAGCTTTGATCCCATGATCCAGGATGTCGTAACCCAAGAGTATGAGCGTCAAGGCATCAACCTGTACAAGGGATCACAGATCACAAAGGTGGAGGACATTGGAAAGGGAATGAAGCGTGTCACCTACCAAGAGACTGAGACCAAGAACGAATCCTTTATCGAGGTGGATACCGTTCTTTTCGCCACTGGACGTGTGCCTGAAATCGAAGACCTCAAGATCAAGGACTTCGGTATCAAGCTCAACGAGAAGAACCACATTGTCACTGACGAGTTCCAAAACACGTCTATCCCCAACATCTACGCTATCGGCGATGTCTGCGACCGTGGCTTTGAGCTCACGCCTGTTGCCATTGCTGCTGGCCGCCGCCTGTCGGAGCGCCTCTTCAACAACCAGCCCAACTCGCGCCTTGAGTACGAGAACATTCCTTCGGTCGTCTTTGCTCACCCCGAAATTGGCTCTATTGGCCTGACGGAGCCCGAGGCCCGCGAAAAGTACGACGACAAGATTAAGATTTACAAGACCGAGTTCAAGGCCATGTATTTTGCCATGATGGACCCAGAGCACAAGCAGCCCACGGCATACAAGATTATCTGTGTAGGCCCAGAGGAGAAGGTCGTCGGTCTGCATATCCTTGGCCAGGGCAGCAGTGAAATTCTGCAAGGATTCGGCGTGGCGATTAAGATGGGTGCCACGAAGAAGGATTTTGATAACTGCGTGGTATGTACCCTTATCTATTCACACCTTTTTTCTCTTCATTTCCTGCTTCTGTATCAATCTTCCGTGCCTGCATATGCAGGCTGTGTCGGTGGTCATAATCGAGCATGAACTCATCTGCCCACGTTTGTGTTGGCAGGGGATGGAGCGAGTCAGACGCGGGAACTACAGTCTAGGTTTCTTACTCCGTAGCTGACATGCATGGATCTGCTAACATGTGTTCCCTTAGGCCATCCACCCGGTTTCCGCAGAGGAACTCGTCACCATGACCTAGAAGCTTTTGGAATCGTTACAAATCAGACATGCAACTACATGGTCCCTTGACGCACGTAGTCAGCACCTGGCATGCTTAGCATAGAGTAAACATGGAATGATTACAATAGACGAAAGAAATGGCACTATGTTACACTGAAGCAGCAAATGATCAAACGACGCTTCTTTCTCAAGTTTCTTATTACCAAGCCACTATAGCGTTTCAATGGTTTCCCTCTGCCACACGTCCCTTTGTCACTCGCAAGTTGAAGTCTGCAACACCCCCCTCTGACGGGGGACTGCTCATACGCCACATGTTTTGCATTGTAATAACAGGCACATAATTTCGCTCCCCGGATATGCGTTTTGCCCTCGCGCCACCACCACTTCTTTACTCAGAAAAGAAGAAAAAAAAACGCATCGCTTATTTGCCCCCCCCTGGTCAAAAACACATGCATTTGCATTTTGTTCCCTTCTAAAACATGCCGACGCGTGTCTGATGAGCGTCTGAGCACTCTGGTGATGACTTGCATGGCACGGCATGGCATGCACGTGTGAAAAAGGGAAAGGGCAAAACAAAAAAGAGAGCCCAGGCCTTGGACAGTGCTTATCTCTCTCTCTCTTTTTTTTTGTTGCGCCCCGTCAGCCGCGTCCGCGCCCGTCCGCCCGCCCGCCCGCTCCAGAACGAACGGGGTTAATGAGCAGTTTTGCGGGTGGGTGTGAAAGTGGCTGTGCTCTGTAGCTTTTATTTCTCTTATCCATTCATCAGCCGCAGTTTTTTTTGGGGCCCTATCTAATATCTAATATGAGATTTCCTAGTTAAGACTTGGGGATGAGATTGGACTGGACTGAGCTCAGCACAGGTGAACAGGTTTGCTGAATAAACAGACAGGGGGGAAGGGGGGGGGGTTCAGTAACAAAATGCATGCATGCATGTATGTGTGTACTATGTATGTATTTCGCGCATGTGAAAACCAAAACTAGTCCAGATTTAGTTTTTTTACGCCTTGTTTTACGCCCTGTATCCCTCTATCCCTGTATTCCCCCCCCCTCTCTCTCTCTCTCTTTCTCTCCCTGTGTACATACATATGAGCAAGAAAGCCGGGGATGGAACGAATGAACGAATGAAGGAATGAAGAAAACGAAGCACAGGCCCTACAAGCACAAAGACAAGGAACTATACAAAGGAACAGTATCCCTGTTCACATCCACAGCCACTAGACCCGTTTCGCTCGAGACAGCCAACCAACCAAAGAAAAAGGGAAATAAAGCCATACATTTATGCATTGCGTTGGCACTTGCACTTGCATAGTTTAGATAGTTTTGGTTTGAACAAGAGGGGAGAGGTGTGTGTGTGTGTGTGTGTGTGTGTGGAGTACATAAGAAGTGGAGTGAACAACCAAGGCAGTTTCGGCGGCTAGGTATAAAAGCAGTTAGCCGTGTATATATAATGCACGTACATGTATAAAAAGTGGGGAAGAGGTTCGTTTGGAGTGGCTTTGGAATCCTTCGTTCCTTCGCTCGTGTCTCTCTGCCGTCCTTGACTTGTATTTTCCTTTTTCTTTTCCTCTTCTTTTTTTCTTCGTTTTCGGCTTAGGCGGCTTTTTTGCTATTCTTTTTTTTTCTGCTTGGGGAATGGTGGTGATGCTGGCGCTGGTGCTGGTGCTGGTGCTGGTGCTAGTAGTCTAGAGTCGATCGATCGATAGGAAGAAGCGCAATCTTGGGATACGGACGTAAAAAGGAACCATTGCTACTACCAGCTACTCCAACTACCATTACACCAACTACTGCAAGGACGATCATCATCATCGTCATCATCATCACATGACATCATACGTGCTACTACATTGTGCTGTTCGTGCATACACCCGGTGGGATATACATCTTTTTTTTCCCTCCTCATGCAACCATCGCAAATGGCAAACCAGTGCAAAAACAAACAGTGTTTTATTTCGCTATCTTGAAAGAGAGAGAAAAAAGGGGGAAACGGGTCGGCCAAAAAAACAAAGAGATTTCATTAATCTAAAAGAGGTGGGCCCATGGGCCGGTGCGTTGTTTGGGTCTTTTCTAATGGGGATTATCTTTTTTTGCCAAGTACGGCTATCAGCAGCCATTGCAGAAAAGAAAGAAAGGGTGCGAGGGGAAAAGGTTTCAAAATGGAAAAGGCATATCGAGCACAATACTTATTCGTGACGTTTTCGATTTAAGTTTTCCCCACATAATACACGTGCAGTGTGCACAGGTACGTGGTAACAGTAGCGTCAGCGTTGTAGGATCGCGGGGTTACACGTCCCTCATCCATGTGCATGCGTCAATTCCATTGCATGTGCAGATTAGGTAATAACACGAGACAGCTACACATCTACACATGATGATGTGCTATAATACGAGGGTTATAGTTTATTCTTAGGTGAAGGGGAGCAGAAAAAAGGGAACGGCGGTGGCGGCGGAAAACGAGGATCCAGATCAAGATACACGCCTCGTACATGATCGTAAAGCCAGCCGGGTGTGGGTGTGTGGGTGCGAGTACGAGTGTGTGTGGGAGTGAATACAAGTGCCGTGCCTGCATCTCGGTCTATTTCCTCGGTTGGGTTCGGTGTCTTGGGCTCGTTTCCCTTCTAGACTTAGCCATGTCCCGAGCCAATATGGAAATAGATACGAGTAGTTGTGGGAATTACCACTGTCGATCGCTTCATATCTCTCTCGCTCACACACACACACCCTTCAACTTCCCTTGTGTGTGTGTGTGTGTGTGTGCTGCCGCCGCCCGCGCGTTCGCCCGCTTACCTAATGCTGCAGCTTACGGCAGAAGTCGTCACAAGGGCTGTTCGACTGTCGCTCAATTTCTTTCCTGGTATTATTCACACACCCCTACCTACCTCTATCCGATGCGTCTGTGCCCTGCAGCATCTGATCAACGGGCCCTCCCCCGCCTTCACCTTGCTCGTGCACATGGCCGCGTATCCCGCTTGCACCGTTGTCGTGTCATTGTTCTAGCGTGCGGATAGGCTGGTATTTTTGCCAACTACCGGCGGGTACTTTGCAAGCCATGCGTTCTTTTTTTATTGAGGGGGGCGCGCCTGGTGCCATTGGACTCGGCATGTAGAGGAAGGTCAAGGAGAATGTAGCCACCGGTAAATAGGTCAAAACGAGTTAATGTGTGGGGAGAAGGACGAAGGGAAGGAAAGGAAGCAAGGAAGGTGGAGAGACACACGGGTCCGCACGACTCGGTAGACTTTACTTGTTTCTCTCGCTTTTGCGCTTACACGGCCAAGTTGTAATGTGCCGTTTTTCTCTTACACATACACACTCTTGCCTGCAGGCCTGGTGTGTACTTCTCGAGATGAAATTTGGGCTGCGATGCTGTCCCTGCAGTAGATTTTCTGCACCTAAGTGCTTCGCTGTATACGGACAATCTGGTTCCGCCAATCATGAATTCCGCGGCCGTTGGCTTCTCGCTGGCCACCGCCAGATGGAGGTCGTGATGCGAACGCCTGTACAAGCAAGTGGCTTTTTGTCTTTTCGTCCAGAACATATACAGCAGCGCCACGCTGACACACAATGTATTCGCACCGGAGCACTCTCTCCGTGCGCATGAGACCAAAACGGCCTTATGCACCCCAGATTGCCTTGCGCACCTGGTTGCAAGCCCGCAGCCGTGGAGACACTGGTTGCTCGTCAACCAAAACGCCACGGAACCGATGACTCGCAGTGTGGGCCGTCACGTCGTGTCCTTGTTGCACATTGACAGTCGGCGGCGTCATGTTGCTTTTGCTGTGAGTCATGTTGGCTGCCGTGTCATTCCTCGCCATGGCAGGACACGCAGGCCTGGGTAATTTCCATCTTCTTTCTTCGACATGCCCATTGTTGCGGCCAGATGCGTCTCTGGGGTGCGCGCCCGTCTGAAGCGAGTTCCCGGGGACCCCAGATGACGCGGCCGAACCCCGGTGCTGTTTTCATGCAAGATGTGACGCTAGCGCATTGTAACCCGGGTTTCTATCCTCTGGCTGCAGCTGTGAAAACGACCTGTCGAGTGTTTGGCCGGAACAGGCATCGGTTGCGCACAGCGGCTACCCTGCTGTTTGCGGCACCGATGCCGCCGTCCTCTGCCATCATTCCTCTGCAATGCACCTCTCCACACACCCCAGAACTGCCCCCGGCCCTGCTGTGCCTGCGGGCGCCAACGACTGATCATCTTGTAGAGCACCTTGTCTGCACGGCCGCGTCTGGCAATGGTTTGGGTAGTGTGGAGTCGCCGACATCTTGATGCTGCCGGCTTGCCGTCCGAAAGCGCTTGCTGAATTGCTGTGTCGACAAATATTATACAAGTTTACATGTGATTGCCGTTGACTTCGTTGCCCGTATTTACCCACGCCGAGAAGCTAGCCGCTCTCTATTCCGATGCCTCAATTTTGCGCCGCCCCGATTTTTGAACGTGTAAGAGAACAAGTCAGATGCCATCCGAAACCACGTCGGTCCGCAGTGAGCCTGCCATCATGCCTCTTGAAGCCATGACAAGGAAAAAAAAATTTACTTTGAACTGAAAGTGCATTCACATGCACGCTGTTGTGGCGAAAGTTGCATCTTCGCCCTGGTAATCTGCCCTCATGTCGCCAGAGTGCCATGTCCGCGGATTGGAGCTGAATGAGGAAGGTTGACGAATTCAACCGCTCTGACCACTCAGAAAGAAGTCCAGCTCGCTCGGGCCGCCCCTGCTAACCTCGTTCTCTGCAAGCTGTTCCAGCAGGCTTAAGAATGGATCCTTGCTGTCGGGATCCGTATGCGCCGATGCACCTGACGTGCTTCCAGCGCCAGGGGTAGGCTGCTGGTCGTAGGGTGGCGGCACACTGAGTACAGGATCGAAATTTATCGCATGATGCTCCTGGCCGTGGTTGAGGTTTGCTGGCCGAGCAATCGGTGACGGCGCTAAGCTGGCAAATTGCGGCAAGGGAGAAAAGGAGAAGTTTGGCGAAAAAGGGAGACCAAGTCCACCACCATTGGGGTGGGGAGGATTCAGCGATGTGTTTGGTAGCGGTGGCGTGTAAGGAGGAACGCTCGAGTCGGTAGCGAGGGTTCTGGTGTCTCCAGGGCTTGGGTGCGACTCTGAAGTTCCTGCCTCGGAAGATCGATGTACAGTAGCCGAATGCGTGGCCAGGATGGGTGTTGGAGGCATAGGTTGTGATTGGACAAGCGGTTTCGTGGATGAAGTGGTTGCTCTCCGCCTCTTGTTTGGATGGCCGTTCGAGTACTGCGAACGTTGCGACGGCACTGTTTGCTTTGGGTAGCCCTGAGGGTTGCCAATGACACCGCTCGTCATGTACATGTTGTTGCGTTGCTCAATGTTGAATGTCGCAAGGCTAGGGGGTCGTCAGCAGCCGCAGTTTAATCACATATTTTCTCACTCACCCTTCGTTGATGGACTCGACCGCAATGTCCATAAACGTAATGTGTGACCCATCAAAAATGTGGCCTGGGTACCTGTCGAAGAAGTCTTCTAGTTGGAATACTGGAGCGTATCGCATTGGGTTGCTAGCCAACGATTGGACAAGCTCAGTGTGGCATCCGTAGATTGTTTGCAGCGTATCCCGTTGATGTTGAGCGCCCGCCCAGATGAAGCGAAGCTCGGAGAGCTGCTGCATCTCACGCGATAGGAATTCTGGACTGACGGAGAATACCTCGCCTTCGCGCCCAGGGTAATGTGCACCATGCACGTGAATGGTGCCAGCGGTGCATACACAGTAACTGACAAATGCTGGCCAGTCCATGATAGACGAGGCTCTCCCAATCTCGACCAGTTCGGCTATTGCGTTGGCGTGGAGGAAACACAGGTTGGTGGCCTCAATCTGCCAGGGCTGATGCTGGGACGTCCCCGACAGCTCTGCCAAATCTATGGGGAGAAAGGGCCGGTAGATGAGGCAATGTATCAGGTGATAGACCAGCTTGCTAAGGACCAGTATGGTGCTGTCGGGCTGGCCAAAGAGAGCCTCGATGGATGTGAAGGTGTCCTGCGTCTCCAGGGCCCATGTGTCGAGTTCTTGGCGAATCTTGGATAGGTTCGATAATGAATGCCAAGGAAAATGCGAGTCTCCCTTGACACCGCCAGCCGCAAGGTAGCGATTGGTTATGCCGAGAATTCGCGATATGCCAATCAGCATACCCATGCTTCCTTGGCCGCCTTTTCCAGTACCACCCATGTACTGCAGGTTGCATCCGTTTGGAAAGTAGTCTCCTTCGATCAAAATGGCCCCCGGGTGTAGCTGCCAGCTGGGCAGGCGCAAAACAATGGATTCATCCGAGATCAAAGAGGGTCGTTTGGATCCAGCTGCACCAAAGCGATCCATGAGGTAGCAAGACCAGAAGAGACGGCGTCGGCCCTCGCGCTCGGCAGGTGTGACCTTGATGCCGGCGGGCAGTTCGCGGTGAAGGTCGAGCGCAAAGACCATACTGATGGCCGAGTCTTGGAATGCATGTTAGCCGCGTGTGATTTGACTGGATGGCGGTGCTTCGCGTACTCAATAGCATAAAAGCCTTCTTGCCCTTGCCAAGCTGGAAGCTTGCCTGTGAAAGCAGCATGAGCGTCTGCAGGGCGTCGATGGACGGCTCATCAACATCGAGCTCCAGGCGGGCGCGGCGGGCATACTCTTGCCCGATGCGCACCGCAGAGCCGTATCCTCCGAAGTGGGGTGCATATCTGGGGTAATAGGTTAGTTTTGCTCGGCTATGTCCAAGGATGGCAGAGCTGGAGCGTACCTGGCGCTCACGGCGTAAATGGCATAGGCTAAGTGGCTGGGCAGCTGATTGGCCTGCAGGCGCTGTCTTGTGGTGGGCTCGTCGAGGATGTAGTAGGGCTTTCCGTGTATTCTGGCAAAGTAGGTGTCGACGAGTAGATCCGGCGCCAAGGCCGGGGATTGAACACTAGTTGTTGCCATCAGCCTATGCAGTGGAGCGCGAATTGCAGGTTGCGTCAATGTTTACCTTGGCTCAATGGGCGACAGGTGGTGCTGCGATCCATGGCTCGTCGAGTTTGAGCGCGCGTGGGCGTGGGCGTGGTCGCGCGGCGGCTGTGAGGCTGCCGTGTCTGTGGACTTGGAGTCGGGGGTCGTGCTCTCTTTGGTGGCAGTAGCGGTGGCGGTGTTGCTGGCGGCGGCGGCGGCGGTGGCAGTTTTGGTGGTCGAGGTCGAGGTCGAGGCCGTGTTGGCTAGATCATCGCTCTTTCCCTCGGAGACCAGGCGCTTTTCCAGGCCATCGACACGCTTCAGCAGGGCTTCGAGCACGTCGGTCTTGGGGCCTCTCTTCTTGGGCACGGCGTCTGCAGCAGGCGGTCAGCACACGTCTGGATGGCGCCGAGAAAGCCGAGGCATGTACCGTAGATACACGGGCAGTTGAAGACTTGACAGGCCTCGCAAGTTGGGCGTGTGCGGTTGCATTTGATCTTTGGGGTTGGCGGGTCAGCACGCAGACGGGGATGCGAGCAGAGCAAGCACACGGTACCTTTCGCTTTCGACAACTCTTGCAGTTCATGGCCTCGCGGGGCTCTGTCGAGACACGGCGGGCGGGCAGTCTGTCGATGCCGATTTGCGGCCTGGCCATTGCAGCAGCCAGAGACTGGGAGACTTCGGTGGACATGGCGAAGCTATGGGGCGGCGGACCAGAAGCATTTCCTGGGAGCAAGAGGCGGAATGTGACGTTGGACACAGGACGTTAGGAAGAAGAAGGGCTCCCGTGCACGCGCGCGGCCCCCCCCCTCGCCCCAGAAAAAGTATATACACTCACTGTATACATAGGTGGTGGTGGTGGTAGTAGCAGTAGATGCGCTAAGTAACTGGCTGGCCCATGGACGCCATAGTAATGCTACATACGTCCACACATCCTACGTACAACATATACACACAACACACACTCACTCACTCACTCACTCACTCATTCATACATGCTGGATGGAGCTAGCTGACGAGCCGCCCGCCGTGGGTTAGTCGCCCCGACCTGGCCATCACGCGTGCCGCCGCCCTCATCCCATCCGACCCCCCGTCATCATCATCATCGCCTGTCGCCCGTCGCCCGCCAGCGAGGCCCTAGCCGACGTGCGCCGCCGCAACTGAATCGCGACCCCCAATCCAATCCCATCTGTGCGGGCGCTCGCTCTCGCTCCCCTCCACCCCCCCCCTCACCTCACCTCACACCCCTGTCCGGTCCTGCGCCGCCCTGTCCGTCCCCACTGCCAGCGGCTTTAATTTGGACGCTCTTGGACGCGGTCGCTGTGCTAGTGCGGTGCTACTACTACTACTACGACTACTACTACGACTATTACCACGCTACGCCGTCATGGCCCTCCCCTCATCTCGTCTCGTCTCCTCACCACCACCACCACCACCACCACCATGTCGGCGTGGCCATGGGCAATAAAAGATGATACTACTACTGCTACTAGAATAAAATAGAGGCTGCCCCGTGCCTCGGCCCTGCTCCCCCTCGCATGCATATACCACTACACACACTCACACGCACCCTCACACGCACTACGACTATTCCCACTCCATATACGGGGTGCGCTGCAATCTACTCGTAGCGCCCTGCACGGCCGTCGTCTCATGCGTCCAGGCCAGGTCGTTGCGGGCAATAGCTCCACCGGTAGTGCCGGCCTGCTGAGCTTCTGTTCTGGAAATCTGGGGTATTCTGCCCGGCCACGCCCATCAATCCAGCCCTAGCCCGCATGCACCTCGATATCGATACTCTCCCCCCCTCCTTCTCTTCCTCCTCCGCCGCCGCCGCCTGCTCAACCACACCACACCACACCACACCACACACCTCACACCCCCCCCTCTGCACGCCCCCGCCGCCCTCTGTCGACGCCCTGCATCGTCGCGAATGCGGCTGCACTGCTTTCTCGACAGCACCCTGGCTGCCCTGAGCAACCCCCGAGCCCTGTCCATCTGGCCCTGTTCCTCTCGAGCCCTGCCGCGTACCCTGTCGGCTCGTCAAGGGGCTTTGCCGTCTCGCGGGTGAACGGTCTGCTCTACGGTCACGCTGCATGTCATGTCACTCTCCCTGGGTGGGCCCCTCTGTGATTGCACTTGCACGCGTCGAACCACCATCACCGCCTCTGCATGCGCCATGGTCGCCGCCTGTCCCGCTTGGTACGTACGCTGCCCCCGTGGACTCTTGGACTCTTATTACCAAAAAGTAATACCATACATGCTATCTACATAATCCCCGCCCGTCGTTTGCGAGCTTCAAAAATACCCCCTTCCAAGCGCCAGCCGCACAAAGTCATAACACACATTCTGCCCGACCAGCTTCCGAATCGTCTCGACCGTTGTCCATGCCGACACGTCAGCGATGCCGTACGCAGTCCAGCCCACAGACGTCGCAATGGCCAGTGGGTCCACCTTTCGCGTCCCGCTGGCCAAGTCGACAAACACCTTGCCTGCAGCCTTTGCCCCCGTCGCCCCTGGTCCGGTGGTGCTGCCGTTGCGCCCTGCCACCCGGTAGTGCTTGAGCAGAGGCACCACCAGCAGCGACTTTTCTGCTGGCAGCGCCGAGATAATCACAAACGGCTCCTGCAGCCGCTTGACGTCGTCAATGGACCGCACTGGCGACACATCCGTAGATAGCGGTCCGTGGGACCGGAACCCAATCGTATATATAGGCCCGATGCCCAAGTTCTTCAGCGCAAATATGGATGCCGACGCATCCGCCTCGCTGTTGGCCAGCAACAGGGCCGCTTGTCCACTGTATGCCGACGGCACAAAGTCGCGCGTCAGTGTCGCGCGTATCCCCTTCCACCTAGTGTTGTCTCCGATAAACGACTCGTTGCTCGCTCCCGGCGGCACCAGCACCGTGTCTACCTGCCCAATCGCCCGCGCAGCATTCGACAGGCTTGGCAGGTACGGCGCCGATGCTGCCAGCGGCGGGTTGATGTAGGCGCCCCCAAAGTTGGGCCGGCGCAGAATGTGCTCAATCGACGCCTTGGGCGCCCGCTCCGCAAACATGAACGAATGCGGCAGACTCAGCTCGTTGAAGCACTTTTCGAAAAACATGGCCTGCGCCGTCGACCGGTAGCTGCCAATGCCATAGATGTCGCGCTTGGGCACCTGGCCCATGGTGTGCAGCGCCGCGTTGATTTCGGCCGCGCTCAGCTGCCCCGGCGCCGCAATCATGGGCAGCAGCGGGTGCGTAATGGGCGTAAAGATCTTGTTCAGCGTTCGCGACAGCTGGCCCATGGGCCCCATGTTGAGCCCCGAAAAGGGCGGGTGCGGATACTTGGCTTGGATTGTCGACCGGAAGTACTCCAGCTCATAGTTCTCTTGCATCGAGTTGACCAGCGCATACATCTTGACAATGTCGCCGTACACGGCGCCCATCTCGAACAGCCGCTGCGTTTCAGGTGCGGTCCACTTGAACGTGCCCGAAAAGTCGTGGAACGCCGAGATGATCTTGGTGCATGCCTTGTTCTCTGACAACTTCCGCCTAATCTCCTCGGGCAGCCACAGTTCCACATCAATGTACTCGCAGCCCCATTGTATCGCCCGCGCAAGGTACCGGTAGAAGAGCGTCGGGTCGTCCATGGGGAACCGCCCGTTCTCCTTTATGCACCTCGTCGTAAAGATGATGGGCAGCTCGGTGCGCTGCCGCAGCACCATGACCTGCTCGCCGACATACTTGAGGCTGGGAATCTTGCTAATGGTGCCGTCCGGCAGCGGCTCTTCCAGCAGGTCGACTCGGATCTCGATTGCGTCGGCGCCGACCGACAGGATGTCCAGGTTGGGCAGCGCAGCATGCACGTCGGGGAACGTCGTCGAGATGAGCGTCGTGCGCGCCTTCTTGGTGAGGTCGCGGTGCGGGCCAATCTGGCCCAGGATGAAGGAGAGGTAGCGCGAGACGTCGCGGCGGAAAAACGGCGATCGCGTGTACAGATATTCATAGTCGCATAGGTCGGTGATGGCCTCGTCCAGCTCGTGGTCTCCGTCGACGCGGTGCGTGTTGATCAGCAGCCTGGAGCGATCCCAGTTGTCGAGTTGCGGCTTGGCCAGCCGGTTGCTCAAGCCATAGACCGTCTCCTGGGGGCCGGCCAGCGCTGCCTCGACCGACGGCGCCGCCTCCCACTTCTGCCCAAGCACATCGGCAATGATGCCCACAATGTCCTGTTCGCCGTCGTTGTGCAGGATCAACAGCGCCGGCCGGGCGCCATGGGGAATGGCCTGCACGTCAATGACGGCGCCTTCCTTGAGGTGGGGGCTGGTGATGCCCCCGGTGGTCTGCACCATGGTCGCCATGGGTGGGTGTTGTGTGTCGTCGTGGGTGGTGTCCTGTGGGTTAGCCGTAGGTGTTGAAGCCGTTGATGCGATGCTGGATCTCGGCGAGGATGCGACGGGCGGTATACAACTGGCAGACTGCAACGGCCGTCGCTACCATCTCCAAAACGTCGAGGAGGCCGAGGTGGTGTGGGGGGGGGGGGGGGCGACAGGCGTCTGGAGAAATACAGGCGTCTCAGAGAGGGCGCTGTACATTCATCCGTGGGGTGTGCGTGCGAGGCGGGAAGCAGGGCGGCGTGTTGCTTTAATCGCAGTGCGGCGTGAGGGTGCTGGCGATAGAGAGATAGAGAGATAGCACCATGTCCTGAGCAGAGGGAAGCACCAAGCCTCCGTAAAACCCGCGCGTTTGATCGCTCCAACGCTGTCGTATGGCTGGACAGTGAATATGCCGTTGGCATTGGCACTAAGTTGGGACTGTGGGATAGTGTGTCTGTACGGACCCGGGCGGGTACCGTGGCGCGCCCGCCGATAGCTGGGGCTTCCATTTATCCGTCGGCTTACCTCGCGCTGCCAGGCGCTCGCAGATTTTGCACCAATCACGCCTGCGCTGCCGCGAGCCTCTGCTGACACTAGCGCCTCGAGATTGGTGGAGAATGGGGCGAGGGGAGAGCTGCGACTTTGTCCTGCAACGGGCGGCCAATGCTGCTGCGGGCGCGAGCCTGAGGCAACCTCCTGCTGCCTTCTCTGTCCCAGTCCGCCTCTGCCCAGCAAACAACCACCACAGCAATACGAGCGTGGCACCTCCTCGCGCTGCCGCAATTCGCCCCTATCCACACGCCCCTCCCCTGTGCCCAGGCCCGCGTCTGCGTCTGCTTGCTCACGAGGCGCCCTCCGCATCGCCATGGCCGCCGTCGGATCGCCTTCCCATCAGCCCTATCAAATTTGCCATCCAGCCCCGTGCCGTGCGTGCGGGTGAATGTGAGTAATGAGTAATGGATAGCTGGGGGGCCTCGAGGGGGCAACCCAATCCACGCTTCCCTGCAAGAGCTGGAGAGACGCGGCCATCTCGTGTCTGCACCACAATACTCGACGGCTATCCCCAGCGCCAACTCCGAACACCCGTTGCCAAATCGTCCCGCTTTGCTCGCTCGCCGGCCCACCGCTGCACAGCAACAGGAACATGATATCTCTCGGTGATTTAGCAGCCAATATCAGTCCGGTATACATACCTCGCTACCTGTCGGTTTCATCATCGTCGACTTTAGCCGTTAACCCTGAGGCACGGCCAGAGAAGCGTCGACAAAATCGGATCGCCAGCATCGGGTGCAGATTCTCCGGGACCATTTTTAGTGTAGCGGTGGTCCACTTGAAGGCTCTGTGTGAGTGTGAGCACTATGGACATTGTCGAGTGAGCCCATCAGCCCGTCGAGCAACCCCCTGCGCAGCATGAATACATACATTCAAGAGCCGGGCTTCGACCATCGGTACTCCCCATGCACGGCCGCTATCCGTCACCCTTCAGCCATGGGATATGTGAGAGATAGACTGGCCTCATGTTCTGGACTGCTGAGGCCGTGTTGGATGTAGACGACGTTGGATCGCCCAAAAATGACGCATCGGGAAGCGCCGAAACCTGTGGGATATTACTGCTGCAGGACGTCGGCCAGACGATAGCTATTTTTCCATGTCCAGTTGGTTCTATCGCGTCAACATCGCACCGAAGCGCCAGACATCGATCGCAGCTCGCTGATTCGGTGGCGTGTAGCTTCCCCTCTTTGTACCCAAACGTAATCGTACGGGACGGACAGAGATGTCACGACGAGATTCCGCAGAATGGGTCTTATCAAACACGTCAGCTACTTTCTTCCCAGTTGCAGCCTTTTATCTCTCGATTCCGTTTGCCAGGCCGACGTTGTCTACATCCTGCGATGTAGTATATACCTACCACGCTCCATGTCCAGTCCTCTCACCATGTCCTCGGATTTGACTCACAACTTGCCTGGCTCAAGCCATTAACGACAAGTAGCATAGACTGCCGGTTCCCCAGTCTGATTCCCAGCAGTCTGCCCGGACCCATACCACCTCGGTCCAAGTATCGTCTTGTCGTCCCACTTCTAGGCTTGTCGCGCGATATTTTCAGATTCTTCGGTGTTTCCACGCTTTCTCTTTTTACGATACGTCCGGACGTGCTCCCGGGCTCGGCAGCGTTTACGTTATACACAACGTTTGTTATGGTCAATGCAGTATGGTAGAATGGAAGGAGGTGTAGCCCGCAGATAGTACAACAGTGTCGGGCTTATATGGCGGAGGTGGTTCCAGGTAGGTTTTAGTCGACGTAAGACCGTGACGAGCGGCGAATACGATCAGCCCGAGGTAATTGCCGCTCAGCTATCCATCATCTGATCAATAGGTACTAGCGGTATCTCGCTGTAAACGGTATCTGCCAAGTGTCCAAGACTATCGTGCCGCATTTCCTCTCGGAACCAGCTATGGGTTCGCCATTGTTCACAATAGTGAGTTGTACTGGAAAACTATTAGGATAGAAAGGTGGATGCGGCCCGGTTCACAGTCTTGTACACAAAGAAAATATCAACCTGTTATACATCATAATAGTGCGATGGCGACTGGGCTTGCCATATACCAAGATACTGTACGTATCATCCTAACAGAAATGTCGCTTTATCTCTCAGCCTGATTCAAGGCACATGGCAGCTAGATAAATGCGGCGAAATAACATGCGGATTAACTTTGATAATGGCCCGTTTCCGTGTCATGGTCAGTCAGACTGTGCAAATCTGGCCAAGTGTAAGCGGCTGTCGTCGCGCTCTCATTGCAGATCGCAGGAGACTTCGCATGCTGTACAAATGTGTACCTTGAGATTGGCAATGCAAGCATGTATGACATAACCAAAAACCGCTGTTTTTTATTTGCATCTTGAAATAAATTCCCCGCAATAAAATCGTCATGAACAATGGTAAAGGCCATGTATGGGCGGAGCGAATAGAATACATGCATTAGTGACCCGGCCTTGGCGCTCTGACCTCATCCAAAACTTCGGATGCGGCGAACAGCGGAGGTGTCGCCATCCACCAAACTTTCCGCCGACGCCTTACCAACAACACAAAATGTTTGCAAGACGCGCAATTCCCTCGGTAACTCCAATGAATTCGGTCTTGAAAAACTACATGCGCCTAACAATTACCAGGCCTTCCGAGCCGCCACTCGCGCAAGCGCACCTCGCTTTACTCCAACCACACGCTTCCTGACGCCATTTCAAGTACGGCTGCTATCCGACGAAGTTCGCTCCGCAATCGACAGGGCCATTGCGTCTTCGCCGGTAGTCTTGTTCATGAAGGGCACACCAGAGACGCCGCAATGTGGTTTCTCAAGAGCTAGCATCCAGATTCTGGGCATGCAGGGCGTGGACCCAGACAAGTTTACAGCCTTCAACGTGCTCGAGGACCAGGAGCTGAGGCAGGGTAGGATATTCCCAGAACAGATGCCTTTGAGACCTCCAACATACCTCTCCTGAATTCTATGCGAATGCTGCGAACGGTCATAGATGGCGCTTGCTGACAAATGTACCAGGAATCAAGGAATACTCAGAGTGGCCAACGATACCCCAACTATACGTCGACAAGGAGTTTATTGGAGGCTGCGATATTCTCATGACGATGCACCAGGATGGGTCGCTGGCGAAGATGCTCGAGGAGAAGGGCGTGCTTGTTCCAGCCGAAAAGGCACCGTAAGGATCACGTCTAGAACAATGGCGTGAGTCACAGCCTGCGAAATGTATAATACTATGTTGCATCATTTGAGAGAGTCTGCCAATGGCTCCTATTCACGTAACGACGACAATGTATACATATGATGATCAAAGCATGTGCGGTCATATAGCCGCCTTTGCGCACCTGTTTCATTGGTGTGGGCACACATGCGTCGTTGCTCGGGGATTTCCTCTCATGTTCGTGCATGTGTAGGGCGCTCTTGCTTTGTTTTCAGCGCGCCTTCCACACCAGAGCTAGGATGTCCCAGGCGCCTGGATCCAATCTCTCGCTTCCTCCAGACATACAGCACTAATCCTGCTGAAACCCTCGACCCATCAAGTGCACTCTCTTTACCCGTATAGGACGGCATCTGGGCGCGACAGGTCTGTTTTATGTGTGTACGCTAACATGGGCTCACCCTTGAAGAAAACATCGCCTGTAAGAGTAAGGAAATCAGTCCCTACCACTGCCGTCTTTAAGAACCATAACAAGAGGAGAGATCAGGCCGCACATGCACATCGAGTGATCAATGTCCCATCCGATTTCGCCAAGGAAGATGCCGATGCTACGACTTTGATAAGCGTCAGGTCGCACTCCAGCCCGCGTGGTGGGGTGAAAAAGAGAACCGCAAAGCACGTATCAGACAGGCACCCGTTAAGTGCACAATTCAAAGGTATGGTATATCACTAGAATTGATGGTGCTGGTAACTGATGTCGCATCGTACAGATGCCACCGAGAACTATCGCAGACATTTGTACAAAACCGCCTCTCTGAAGATCAATGCTGGGCTCAAGTCACTGCTCAACACGCTCTACGAGAGCACGCTCCAGACTATCCTTCCAGATAACAACGAACCCAATACTTCGGCCTCACCACTAAAGCTCTCTGCACCAGCAAAGTACGAGCGGCTGGCCTTGCAACTCCACCAGCCCATCTCCCAGTACACTCTCAGGCTCCGACGCACCAACAGCCAAGGCCAGGATGTGCGCTTCGAACAGACACTGGAGATACGTATGCAGCATTACGAAGAACTCATTGCTGCGCAAACGGCGAAACTAGCCAAGCTACAGAAAGAGTGGGAAGTCGTCGTGGGCGAAATCTGGAAACTTGGAGTCGAATGCCTCGGAGAGAACGCCGTGGAGCGCTTACTCTTCACCGAACAGCGACACAATGGCCCAATATTGCTGCTTTCTTCGTCGCCGTCCAAGACCACAGATGCTGGATCTACCTTGTTTGTACCTGAATACGGCACTTCTCCTCCCAAGACCAAGATGCGCCACACCAAGAAGCGCGTCACTTTTGTGGAAGAAAAGCAAGATGCATCAGATGCCCGAGACAAATACGGCGCCAGCGCAATAACCTCGTTTCCAAGCTTTCTGTACCAGCCATCTCGGTATTCAAACGACGCATTGCGTGCGGCGGGAGGCGTATCAGAGCAGCAGATGCACAAACTCAACCAGACTATTGAAGGACTGGGCCAAAAGGAAATGAAGGATTTTCGCAGCATTGAAAAGGAGCATCGCGCGTTCTGGAAGAAGAAGACGGCACAGCTCGCGAGTGCGTTGAGAGAGGAGTGAGCAAGAGGAAAGCTGGGTGGGTGGGTTTCGTCACTGGATCTGGCTATGGTAGCTGTGTAGAAAGGAGGAGAGATGTCATGTATTCACATACCCATACAGAAACGATAGGACTCTACACCACCACCACCACCACCACCACTTTCAATCTAAATAATTACATTTGAGCCTTCCAAGAAAGTCATCGCCACACGGCAGACTAACTGACTGACTAGCCGTTGTCTTGGACTCGGGGCATGAGACCGTTCTAGGCAGTCTGAACCGAGCAACCGTCGTTTCCAAGCATGCAAAGTGTCTATGAATATGCGCCCAAAAACAAGGATTATCCTAGCCGAGTGCGGCACACTGAACTACATGCTGAACTACTGCATATCCATATATGTATACTAGTGTGATTATGATCCAGTGGAAAAGCAGCCACAAAAAAATGCATGTAAATGTTGAATTACTGTAATAATCGTCCCAAAAGACGAAGAAGACTATATGAAGAATATCCGTAAACAATCATTGGTTCCCATTCCCTTTCGTATTACATCATATCTTGAATCCAGTCCAAAAAAATAGAACCATCAACTTGGTCTCTTCCAGTTTCCACCAAGTGACGATTTCTCATTACATGTCTCTTTTGTACTATGCTTTCTTTTTTTTGACAAGACAAAATTCCCCGCCTCAAAAAAAGGTACAAAAGTTCTAGAGCAGGTATCTGTAATCTGGATTCATATCGCCCAATTCGGTTTTTTCGTACTCTGTCAAGCCCACGTCGCGGGCCGTCTTGTCGCGCCTCTGGTTGGCCCAGTAACACATGGCGAAGTAGACGGTGCAGCAGAGGGCGCTGAGGCAGACAAAGGATATGCAGATGGAGTAGCCGGACAGGTATTTGGGCGCGTCTTTCTTGAGGAAAGCGAATGTAGCGACGAAACCGCCAATGTTGCCTGGAATATTCTGTTAGATGTATATATTTTGCGGGAGCTTCGTGAAAGAACGTACCAAAGCCAACTTGCCATGCACTGCCCACTGCCCTCCTATGATGTCCACCTAGATTCATGTTGAACCAGCAAACAATGACAGGCATGGCCGTGTAGGCTCCCGAGGCTACCAGGAACAGTGCCGCATATTGCACTTCGCGGTGATGATGCACAGAGATTAGGATTGCAAAACCAGCAATGCAGACGCAAATGGGGAAAATAGTGAAGAGGTAGCGGTGCTTTAGACGATCCGAAAGGTAGGCGATAACCATGCTGAAGCCGAAGGCGGCGGCCCAAGGAGGTACGCTGTGAAGCTGTGTCTGGATGGGAGAGTATCCGTAGCTTTGAATAATGGCGGGAGAAAAGTATGCGTAACTGTAGGCCGTGATGACGAGGCCGAAATACATCAAGCCGCCAACAAAAATCTTTGGGTCTTTGAATACGTTGGCGACATCTCGCATTTTGATGGGTCGTTCGCGGGCGGAGCGGCCTTGGTCGACTTGCAGGCGATATTTCACATAGGCACGCTCGGGCTCGGACAGCCATTTGACTTCCTCGGGGAAATTCGGCAGTAGAAAGAAGAGTGCAAAGGATACCAGGACGGTTAGTAGACCTTCGAGGATAAAGACCCATCTCCAGCCGCGGTAGCCCCTTATGCCGTCCATTTTACCAATAGCGCTAGCCAGCAGTCCACCAAAGGCTCCGGCCAGGGTGGTTGAGCTGAAGAAGAAGGAGAAGCGTTTCTGAGCCTCGGACCTTTTATACCACATGCCAATCAGGTAAAAGGAGCCCGGAAACATGCCAGCCTCAAAGATGCCCAGGAAGAAGCGGGTGGCCAGCAGACCACTGTAGTTTTGGACAAGACCTTGCAGCGTGGTAACCACTCCAAAGCCGAACATGCAGATGCTGAGCCAGAGACGGGGCTCCATCTTCTTGAGCAGAATGTTGGAGGGGATCTCGAACAGAACATAGGGAACGAAGAAGATGACGAGTGCCGTATTGTAGCGGTTGTCTCGCAAGAGATCCAGCTCTTTGCTTAGACCAAAGACATTGGCGTTGGCAATGTTGACACGATCCAAGAAGGCCAGCAGATACATGACACACAGGAAGGGGACGACATGGAGGTCGATCTTGGTCATGAGCTTGCGCTCCGTCGTGTTGGGCGGGCAGGAAACATGGTCGGGATCCTCGCCGTGGGAGTGGTGGTAGTTGGGGGCCACCTCATGGTTGCTCAGGTCGGGAGACGGCGGATCTTCTGGGAATAGTCAGTGTCTCGCTCTAGAGGCGCGCTATGGTCCGAGAAAGCGTAGCCACAGTCGCCACGGCCGATGGGGAAGTTGGCAACAGGCTTACCGCTGGACAAGCCTCGCGGTTGCGGACCGAAACCACTTGGCGTCGTGACAGTGAAACACGCGACTTACTTTCCGTCTTGCCAAACATGATTGCGTTTTGGGGATGCGAGGCAGCTCGGCTCACGGGCTCGACTTAAGAGTCTCTAGCTGGGCGGCAGATGGCTGTACCGTGGTAGGACGAGAGGCCAGATTCACGCTTCCAGCGAGGAGTGCGTGGGACGAGTGGGAGAAGGAAATATATCACCGTAAGCCGGCGACGGTTGCAACCAGCCAACAGGGCCGACGTCGCTCAGCCTAGGATGCTGGGGCTAGGCCGTTCCGGTCGCTGCCCTGGGGCGGCTAACCCCGCATCTTTGGCTTTGGCGGCATTCCCTTGCGTCAGCCGTGTCGTGTCGTCTTATGAGGCAGCTGCTTGGTTGCTCGCCATCGCCAAGTAGCGGATAGCACAGGCGATGGCGCAGGTAGCGCATCCTGTGCATCCTACCTTTTTTTCTTTTCTTGGCGCGCCTCGAGCACTGGCACGCTGGGCCGAGCGCCTTTTGCCGCTTCGGTCGACGGCGTGGAAAAAATAAGAGTCGAGCGGCGCGCCTCTCGCGTGTGATGGCACCATGTGATCAGCATGGCGTCTCGGTCTAATTGAGCAGGAGGGCGAGGGTGAGTGGTTGCATGTTCCGCGGGGGACCGGCTGCCATGTGCGTGTGCTTGTTCCTGTGCTGGCTGTCGCTGGTGGTGGTGCTGGCATGGGCATGGGCATGGGCATGCGGGAGCTGAGAGCACGAGCGGTGCGGTGGGTGTGGATGGGTGGATGGGTGGATGGATGTGGATGGATGTGGACGGGTGTGGATGTGTGTGTGTGCGGATGCTCGCTCGCATGCCGGGCAGTGGCAGGGCCCGCAGGGTGATGTCAAAGCTGGCGCTGGCACCGGCGCTGGCTGGCGCTGGCGGGCTCTGCGCTATGCAGAGGCAGAGGCGTGGTGAAGGGCGGTCGAGCTTAGTAAGGCCAGGGTAGGCCAAGGGCAAGGTTTTGTATGCAAAGGGTCAACCTTGCCATCGGGCAAGTCTGGTTCGGCAGCCGACCTCACTCCAGCCTGGGCACGCGAAAGTCTCAGCGTCGTCGTCTGCTCCTTTCCTGTCTCCTCCAGCCCTCCGCCCTCCCACCACCCCCTCCCACCACCGCCCGCCCGCCCGCCCGCCAACTGACCCAGCGCCCGCCCTCCCCGCCAGCCAGCCTGACTGCGTGCGATCCATCTCGACTCCGCCTCCGCCTCCGCCTCCGCCTCCGCCCCCCCTCCCCTCTCGCCCCGAGCGGCTGGCCTGCTGACCCGCAATGGTGAATGCCAAATATGTCGCCTTTACAGTCAACAAGCAGACGCCGTTCCTGCAGACGCCCGACCAGGCCTATGCGACGGTCATCAACTGCCGCCCGCCCGCCGGCAAGCGTGCGGGATTTGCGCACGAGGTGCGCTCCCACAATGTGCCCTTGGCCAAGGTCGAGGGCAGTCTGAAGCGCAAGCGGGGTGACGAGGGCAAGAGAGACCACGACCATGCGACGGCCTCGGCCGTGTCCTTTGGCAGCAATGCGACGCCTCCGCTCGCCACGGCTCCCGCGCGCCCACTACTCACCCAGCAGTGGCAGCAACGCAAGCCCACCCGCCTACGGAGGGGCAAGATCCTGTCCAAGGGCGTCGACCTCGACTGCTGGTTCATCATACTGTCGTACTCGGACCCCGCGCAGCTGCTCGAGATGCGCAGCAAGATTGCGTCGTGTTATCGGTTTCTGCGGGACAATCCTATGCTCTGGAAGCATAGCAGGGTTTACTACTACGGAACCGACATGCCGGACCCACCTCCAGGGCTGACAGAGTTCCAATTTGCCCATCTGCGCCATGGCCATGGCTGTATGGACTGCGGTGCACCGGTAAGTGCTGCTCGTGTTATGTATACATGGTGTGCTTATGAGACACGTGTTGACTTGACTGTCCCCTGGTCTAGAACACCCGCAAGACCTTTTGGGCCTTTCTGCGCCGCATGTGCAAGGATTGCCTGACCAACCAAGTCATCAAGGAGTACGAGGCCATGGCTCTGCTCAAGGGACCAGACGGTGAGGACGTTTCCTTCATCCGCGCCGCCCTTCCGAGCGGCATCTACGACTCGTGGGGCAATTTCGTTGGCGTTGGCCCTGCCAGCACGCATGCACTCAAGACAATATATCTAAGGTCCGACGTGGAGAAGCTCGTTGCCGAGTACAAGCGCGAGTTGCGAGAGCGCGCTTCCGACGCCACCGAGCCCTCGACCTGGATTGCCACATGGCTTGCTGCCAAAGCCCAGAAGATCGAAGAGCGGCAGGCGTTTGCAAAGAAGATGGAGCAGTGGGAAGAGATGCAGCGAACTGCCCGGACGGCCGAGTACAGCTCCAAGAAATCCAGACGCAAGGCCTACTTCAAGGAAAAGGCCGCCCAACTGACGCCCCCCATTGGTATCAAGGAGCTCGAGGCCTGCCCATCGTACAAGCGCGCCGTGACCATCCCCAAGGATCCCAACAATACTTCGTGGGATCTTCTCAAACCCAAGATAGTCAAGGAGGCAGCACAAAACGCAGCCAGGAGGGGCTTAGACGACTCGCATCCTCCTACAGCGTCAACGTCCGGCATCTCGACGCCCACAGGCAGCATGAACCCCTACCCTCACGCACATCTCTATCTTGGCACCATCATGGGTCTGCCGCAGGCTGACCACCACCATATGTTTCAATGAGTCTTTTTTTTTCGACGTGTTTTTTTTTCTTCCTTTGTGCGTTTGACGCTGGGCTGAGCAGTGCACGGGGGAGGTAATGTTTTGGATAATGACAGCATCTTTTTTTTGTATTGGTTTGTTATTTGGGAGCATTGGAGCCGCATCTTCTGATTTCATGGGATTTGGTTATGAGCATGGGCATGAGCATTTCCTTGCAAGGCGCTAGGTCAAGACTTGGTATCACATGGGGGGAGGGCAATGGGTAGCGGGCGTTGTTTGTATTGGCTTGTTGCCCTTGTCAACCTAATACTGGTGTCTCCTGATGTCGAATGGAATTGGCTTTTTGCTTGTGAAAGCTGACGCTTTTCCCCGACGCTCCGCCCGGCTCCGAGACAGGCAAACTGTCGCTCTTGTGCATGTCCATGTCGAGGAAATTACTCCATGGAGAAGGCGTCCACTTTTGCCGTTCGCGCCGTTCTCGGAGGCGGTCGGCATGTGGGCGCGGTATCGAGTGCGAGTCATCCCCACGGCTTACTTACTACAGCAGCATCCTGGTTGGGCCCAGAGAGGCGCCGTGTCCAGCACGCAGAGCACGAGCAAGACGACGACAGCCGCCAGCGTTGAGGCGGCACGACAGCAGTGAAGGGCGGCCATGGCCAGTCGTCGTCCACGGTCGAGGCAGCAGCCGCAGAGCCTCACATAGCAGCCCCTCGCCCCTCGCCCCTCGTCCCGCGTGCATGTAGCCTGCGTCGATCTACCGTGCCACGGCCAATGGCAGCCCATGGAAGTCGGATTACGCGCCACGGCAGCGTCCAGAGCAGCCGGGCTAGAGAGGACAAGCACACGTCCAACACCACGACGGCTGTACGACAGGGCTGCTTGCTGCTTGCTGCTTGGCTTCAGCTGTGTCCTGGCCGCGCCCTGCAAGCAGAAATTTCCCAGCCGGCGTAGCGGCAACACGGCTTGCCCATCGGCCCTGGACGGCACCACCATGGCCTCAGATATCGTAATCGCCAGAGTCCAGACGGCCACGCCCTCGCGCGCCTGTGATTGGTGCAGCCACTGCCCGGGTGGGTCGCTGAGCGTGGCTTCCAGAAACAAAGATTATCGCCATCGGGAGATTGAGGATTAACTTTTTAAGAGCTCGCTCCGTGTGCGCGTATCCTTTTGTTGCCCGCCGTCGCTCCTTCTCTGGCTCTCTCCTTTGTCTCCTTGCCTGCTCCCACCAATTGAGCATTGTCGACGCGAGCCTTATCGACACACACATACAGCCACACAGCAAACACCACTACAATGGCATCGGCCTCTCGCAGCTTCTCTCGCGCCCTGCGCACCGCGGCGCCTTCCTTCCGCACCACCGCCACCCGCTCCCCTGCCCGCTTTGTCGCTCCCGCACAGAATGCCTTCCGCAGCCAGCGCCGCGGATATGCCTCGCAGGAAGACGGCCCTGACAAGCACGAGGGAAACCCCACGGGCCTAGCCTGGGGTGCCGGCGCTCTGCTTCTCGGTGCTGGTGTCTACAGCCTCTACACGTACAAGCCCGAGTTGTTCGGCCAGGCCAGCACCAAGGTCTTCACCCCCCGATTTGAGGACTACCAGAAGGTCTACGACGAGATTGCCAAGCGGCTGCAGGAGTTCGACGAGTACGACGACGGCAGCTACGGCCCTGTGCTGCTGCGTTTGGCATGGCACGCTTCGGGAACGTGAGTACATGCAACGGTTCCTTTTCCCCCCCCAGGACACAAAACTCACACTTTACAGCTACGACAAGCAGACTGGCACTGGTGGCTCCAACGGCGCCACCATGCGCTTTGCCCCCGAGAGTGACCACGGTGCCAATGCTGGTCTCAAGGCTGCCCGTGACTTCCTCGAGCCCGTCAAGCAGGCTTTCCCATGGATCACCTACTCCGACCTGTGGATCCTCGGCGGTGTCTGCGCCATCCAAGAGATGCAGGGCCCCAAGATTCCTTACCGCGCTGGCCGCAACGACCGTGACGTCTCCTTCTGCACGCCCGACGGCCGCTTGCCCGATGCCAGCAAGGATGGCAGCCACATCCGTGCCATCTTTGGTCGTATGGGCTTCGATGATCGTGCCATGGTTGCTCTGTCTGGTGCCCACGCCCTCGGCCGCTGCCACACTGACCGCTCGGGCTACGACGGTCCCTGGACCTTCTCCCCAACTACCCTGACCAACGACTACTACAAGCTCCTCCTAGAGGAGAAGTGGCAGTACAAGAAGTGGAACGGCCCCAAGCAGTTTGAGGATGTCAAGACCAAGAGCCTCATGATGCTGCCCACAGACATGGAGCTTGTCAAGGACAAGGGCTTCAGGCAATACACCAACTTGTATGCCAAGGACAACGATGCTTTCTTCAAGGACTTTGCCGACGCAGTTTGCACACTGTTCGAGCTTGGTGTGCCATTCCAGCACCCAGAGGACCAGCGATGGGTCTTCAAGAGCTCTTTTGACTGAAGGTGTTTCTAATAGACGGTGAACTTCGGGAGGTACACGAGAGAGTTCAGTTCTGAACATTGAGATATCCATCTAGATTAGATTATTAGACCCTTATTTTTGACCCAAGCGGTGTTCAAGAATTTATATATATATGTATATTTCTAAACAGGAAGTATTACCTTTTCCGAGTGGTTCATCTCTCTATCCTTAAAATAATGCTTTTCCGTGCTACTCCAGATATCCCCAAACTTGGTGAACTTGCCGGCTTGGCCAGATCTGCCAACTCTTTTACGCTTCAGGTTCACTTCTTTGTCTTGATATTCCATGTCACTGCGCTTCATCTACTCGTTAGAGATTGATGAAGTCGTCTCATTCGGAACTTGGCGAGTAGTGGCAGCAGACACCATAGATCGCTGTGTGTGCGGGAGTCCTACTAGTAATGCATATAACGACTCCTCCATGTCAAGTCACGCTTTCGGTGTCTACGCTTTCGTCGCTGCCATGACCCCAAATCTCCTTGCTTTCGCTTTCGACCCCTCTCATTGCCTTTGCCACCTCTTCCAGTCGCACAACCACTTCCTGCACACCCTGGTTCACCTTTTCAAAATACCGGTCATTCTCCTCTCTCCTCTTCCGGCTCAACTCGATATCCTTCTCCGTCTCTTCTTCCAGCTTTGTCCTATCAAACAGCTTCTCGCCCTTTTCCGGAGCAGTAGCACCGCGAGCATTTACCAGGCTCTGGGGCTGCAGGTCCGTCGCTTTGTTTTCTTGCGACTTCTTCTGCCGCTGCTCCTTGGGCGTGTGCTCGTCTTCTTCAGAACGTGCCCATGCCTTTGCGAGCTCAATCTGGGCTTTTCGCAGCTCGTCCAGAGCCCGCGAGTGCTCGGATCCAAAGACGGTCATGCCTGGGCCTTTGATGGCGCTCAGTTCCACCTCCTCTAACGTATTCTGCATCTCGGCCCATATTGCTTCGGCTCGAGATGAGGCCTCGGCGTCGGCTGCTTGGCTCTGTTGTCGCTGTCGTCGTTGAAATGGCGCCGAGGGGTTCGACGATGTAGGACTGAAGTGGTCGACATCGTTGCTGGCATTTGGGGGGAGAGGCCGTTTGGCGTCTGGAGAAAGTAGGGACCGCTGGCGGACTAAGGGGGACTTTGCGGGTGCGCGAATCTCATGTAATGATGTGTTGGATGCATTGTGCGATGGCGGTCCGACGAACAGCGCGGGCGCAGGCAGACGGTTCGTCTGCGTCTTTGTGATTTTCTTGTCGTCTTTGGATGACATGGTGGAGCATGCAGTGTGATGTTTACGGGGTGCAGATGTGGGACGGTGGCTGTGCTGCCACGGGCTCTTCAACCAAGCAGCTGGTCGGCACACCAGACACTGTGCCCCCCGAATTCTAGACACTCTATCTAGTCTTCGCAAGCTAACTGAAGACCGGTATGGTTGGGACCATGAGCTTTGACAGCTGCGATGCTGGTGCCAGCGCCAGTGCTCCTCAAGCCGTCGGCTCGGATCGAATGACGATGGGCCGATAAGATAAGCCCGACCCCTGCCATGCGCTAGCCACTGAGGAAGCGATGCCAAGGGCCCGTGCGCACACAAGTCTGGGTTGGAATTCTCCTCCCACCTCGACGTTCGCGACACTAACCACCCACTCTACAGCACATCCGTCGTCAACACCGCAATCATGGGTAAAGGTACGCAATCCATCTCCTCAGATGCACCTAATGCGTGCAATTTCAACGAGCACCCATCCTAGCTACCCCCACCATCACGGTCCACGATGTAGCTTGCTCACACTCTCTCCCAGGACAACCAAGAGGTCTCAACGCTGCCCGCAAGCTCCGCAACCACCGCCGCGATGAGCGATGGGCGGACATGCACTACAAGAAGCGTCTCCTCGGAACCGCCTTCAAGTCTTCTCCCTTTGGTGGATCTTCCCACGCCAAGGGCATCGTCCTCGAGAAGGTCGGTGTTGAGGCCAAGCAGCCCAACTCCGCTATCCGCAAGTGTGTCAGGGTTCAGTTGATCAAGAACGGAAAGAAGGTCACTGCTTTCGGTATGTCAAACAAGCTCTGGAGATGAACAGGACCACAGGAGGCACCTGTGGCGATGCACACCCAACAAGACTTGGCTAACGCGAGACAGTTCCCAACGACGGTTGCTTGAACTTTGTGGACGAGAACGACGAAGTCCTCCTTGCCGGTTTCGGTCGTAAGGGCAAGGCCAAGGGTGATATTCCCGGTGTCCGTTTCAAGGTTGTCAAGGTTTCCGGTGTCGGTCTCTCGGCACTGTGGAAGGAGAAGAAGGAGAAGCCCAGGTCATAGAGTGCTGACCTACACGGAGTCAAGGAAGGAAACGAACGCAGACCACCAGCCCGCCATGAACGAATGATGGAATCCGCGATTCACTGCGGGGGGTTACAGGAGTCTTTGCATTGGGGATATCTGTGCTTCTACTCGGCATATGAAAGTCATGATATGCTGGAGGGTTAGATAGAGAATCTGGCTCGTTCAAGCGCCCATTCTGTCTGCCTATTCATTGATGGCGTGTTGTCTGATACTGTGTAACGTCTTGGTGGGCTGCTACAAGCCACGGCGGTTACCTCGGCTATACTGTTTCAACATGTCTCAAGCAGAACATGGCAGCTGACTGCTCCTTCGACTCATGTCACATGCGTTACCCATATGTAATCTATTGTTTGCGTACTAGTACTACAAAGGAAATGTTATGACAGATGAATCCCGGTGTGCGGCTTTCAAACCCCGACCAATGTCTATCTACTATACAAAAGAAGTGCCGCCGGGTATCTCAAACAAAACGCCAAGCCATGCGGTACCCATCCTCCCCCCTCATCTCAAGATAAGAAGAGAAAGAGAACAACAAGAAAGGGAAAAATGTGAAAAGGAATGAATCTGGACGCTCACTGATCCAACACCGTTTACGAAAGATGGCAATATTTTTCCGGTCCCCCCTTTTTTTTCTCCCCCCCCCTACTTTGAGAACAAGGAATTGAAGGTATCCTCAAGCCCGGTATCCTTCATAGTACCATAGTAATCATACTTGAGCTTTGGGCTAGCAAAGAGCTCAGCATCTCTCTTTACATTTCTGGGGACGCCGGTGCCCTCGAGGCCATGTGTTGATTTGGCGTTTTCGGAGCCATCATCAGCGGGCCTCGCGTTTTTTTGCTCCTTGAAGAAGTTGGGCATGCTTTCTTTGAGCGGGGGCGCCCACACGGCGCGTTTCCACGGGTCGGGCTTGCGGTTTGCGGCGAGCGAGGTGGGGGGTGCAGCGGGGACGCGGTGGCGGAAGGGGTTTGGGTCTTTGCGGGCGAAGATGGAGTGGGGTTCTCTTGGCTTGGGCGAGGGCGACAAAGGCTGTTGTTGGTAGGCTGCTGTTGTTGGGCGCCTGGAGAATTGGTTGGGCAGGACTTCGGGCGTTTGAGAGGCGAAGCGGCCTTTGGTGGGGGTCCAGTCCATGTCGTCGACGTCCATGTCGAGGAAGGCGTTGCGCTGGGCAAAGGGCGTCGTGGCGTCTGTTGCGCCCGTCGTGTAGGATGATTCGGTGAGCGTTGGTGATGGAGGGGCTGGAGAGGATTCCTGGTAGCCTTGGATGCCTGAGGCGAAGGAATGTGCCATGCTGTCGAAGAGATCTGCTTGGGGGTGTGCAGGATGGTACGAGCCTCTTCTCTCTTTCTTCGCGCTGCTGGGTGCGCTGAGGACGGGCTCTTGGGCTGCCTTTGGGAAGGTGGGTGCGGCGCCGTAGACGATGCGGACCGTCTTCCAGGTCAGGAGAGACGAGAGAGCAAGTACGCCGGCCATGACCATGTGGGTGTAGCGGAAGCTCTGCAGTTTGTCGCTGTCGATTGGCGTGTGCTGCCAGTAGTAGAGGCTGGCGAAACGGAGAATGACCACGGCACAGCGTATTGACCAGAGCGACTTGAGCCCCTGCATTCTCCCCGTCAGACTGTTTGTCTTGAGCTTCAGCTTGGGGTTCCACCAGATGGTGAGCAGGTCGGCAATGACAGCGTATTGCAGCCATTTGACTATATATGGCGAAAATACACAGATGTCGTCGACTGCGCGTGAGAGCAATGCCTGGTGCGCACAGGCGCTCCAACTGAAGATCTGACCATCCCGAATATCCTCCTTTGGTACCATGATCAACCCAGCGGCATGCCAGAGCAGTCCCACTACCGTGCTCGCCATGTAAGTCCACTTGGCCAGCGAAATGGCCCGGAGCGTCCACGTCTGTCGCGATGTGTATACAATTGTGCGCCTCTCTTTGCTCGCCTCCATTATGCGCGCCAGGTTGTCGGCTCTGGCTACATGATTCGCATTCCGTATTTGATTCTGGACCCGGGGCAGGCAGTATTTGCAGACTTGCGGATAACGCTCCTCGAGCTCGACCTTGTATTCGTCGTAGGCGGCAAGGTACTTGTCATATTCGGGGTCGTCTTCGTCTGGTAGAAACTCGGCGAGTAGACTTGTGTAGAGTGTTTGGTTGTGCTGGCAGTCGTCGCAGAAGATGTCGTCGGCAGGCGCGGACATGAAAGGCGACAGTGAGCGCGAGGGTATGTGTTTGTGAAAGAAGGATGCAGGAGCGGTTGCGATCTCTTCTATCGGTGGATCAGTAATGTTTCCGCGCTGGGTAGACGTCAGTCGAGGGTTGCCATGTTTATGTTCCGGGGCCGTTTACCTCGTCAAAGTGATTGACGGCGTCGCAATGCGGACAGTGGTATGTCTTGGGCGTCTGTGAGACGCTGTCTCGTGACTGAACATTGCAGTAATGGCAGCGCAATCTGCGCCGCAAGAGCGTCATGTTGAACGAGACAGCAGGCGGGTGTTGTGATGGGAGAAGAGGGTTGCACTATGTCATTGTTCAGCTGTGTTGGCCTGGCAGAATGTCGTCGCTGACACACCGCCCGGGCGCCGGCGCGGAAATTTGGTTCACCATGTCGAATGCACTGATGACCACCAAGAGGGCCGACCCCCCGCCAATCCATCGCCGCGACACCGACGCAGCCCCAGCCAGGCATTGCGGTCCCGTTGCCAGTATCAACATATTCGGCAACTCCATTGCTACTTAGCACCCGTCCCCGCCCGCTGTTCAATGGCTCGGTAGTCCGCAAATCCCTCGCACAACCACGTCCATCGCCGCTACCCTACCCACCATGAGCCAATTAGTCGTCCGGCCAGGGCGCAACGCTGCCCGCCAGGCTAAGAGGCTCAAGGAGATCCGCAAAGTCAAGAACGCAATTCAATGGCACGAGCGAGAGCGGAAGAAGCGGCAAGAACTCAAGCAAGAGCGCTGGGAGTCCAAGCAAGCCGCCCTCCAGCGCATGATGTGGGAGAATGAGCACATCAAAGGAGCCAAGAGACGGGCCCTGAAAAATGCCAAAGAGGACTGGAAGCTGGGCCCTTTGAGGCCCAACCGTGCCATTGGCCCAGACGCAGACAAGTATGGCGCCCTCAGTGCAGCCCGGTTACAGAAGCCTGAAATACCCGTTAAGACACTCAAGCACCGCAACGCAGTGAGGGAGAAGAAGGGATTAGAGTTAGAGTACCCGTTGGTTGTCGACAACAAGAAGTACTTCCCAATCGTAAAGGACGACCGTGTCGTGATCCTCAAGGGCAAAGATGCTGGCAAAATTGGTGTCGTGCGGGATATTATGTCTCGTACGCACGAGGTTGTTATAAAAGACCTGAACATGGTATGTGCTATGTATGCCCTTGTGCCGTACATGAGATCACTGACATTTTCCTTAGCAATACTTCGACTCTGCTGTCTTTAGTGCCGCTGAAGAAGATATGGGACCTAAGCGCGAGGCCGAAGTGGCAATTCCTCTTGACCACGTGCGCCTCGTGATACCCTCTGAGATCAACCAAGGAGGCGTAAAGCGCTACAAGGACGTCATGGTGGAAAAAATATTCATGGAGCGACACACAACCGGCATCGACCCTTACACTGGAACCGACTATGGCAACTCCGAAATACCAGAGGAGCATCAATACGACCCTCGCAATGGTCTTCCTGTCTTTGACCGCTACATTGCAGGTACCAATCACCGCATTGAATGGCCATGGGAACGCGAAGAGTGGACAGAAGAGGTTGCTACCACGGAAGAGAAGAGCGCAGACAGTCGCTCATGGTTCAAGAAGACCGTGGCCACCATCAGCCAACCATTCTCCAGTCTGGACCGCTGGCGAAGTAGCAACAAAAAGAGCAGTGAACAACAAGACTCCAGTGCCCTGAAGACGGACGATATTGAAGAGAACTTGACTGAGATTGAGAAGCAACAACGAGAGAGGCTCAAGACCTCGCCTCCGAGAAGCAAAGACCTTGATCTCCCCGAAGCCTACAACGATGTAGACACAACGCGCAACATAGTCGAGAGAGCAGATTCCATGTCCTACACCCTAGCTACACCGCCTTTCCCTGATACTCTTAGCGAAGAACTCCGCGACGAAATCCACGACTTCTCCATCAAGATGAAGAAGGAGCGGGATCCTAAAGCGCCCCGCATTAAGATCAACAAGCACTCTGAACAGGGTGTACTTGCACGCGAGATTGCCAAGGAGCGAAAGCGGGCGGCCGATGCGATGAAGACGCCCATGCAGTTGAGATGGGAGCTAGACCAAAGGAAGAAGGCCGAGGCACTGAAGAAGCAGCCTCTTGTGGATCAGGAGAGCCTCTTGACTGCGCTGGGACAGCACATGCAGAAGAAGGCCGCGAAGCCCTACCTGGGAAAGAAGCAGTTCCCTGACCAGGAGCTAGACTAAACTGCTTGGTCTGCTGGGCTTAGCTCGTGGTTGCTTGCCGTCTTGAGCAAGAGAGTTGTAACATATACGTTGTACATATAGCACCAACTGAAGCAGCAACTCAAACCAGGCCCTGTGAGTGGCCTAGTGGTCGTTGTGTTGCGGGGTATCTTCGCTGTCAATGTACATCAAACGCCGATTTTTTTTTCCCACATGCATATCCACATCTTCTTCTTCCCACTCACTGTATGCAATAACGTTGCTTGATCAAACGAGCACGCCCCAGTACTCTGCTCGCCCACCAGCCCCTTCTAGCTCCTCCCATTGCACCAGGAACCGGTCTACAACGCGCAGCAGCAGTTTCCCGCTTAAACTCAGCGTCTTGACCCGTGCAAAACTCTCTACATACATGGTCCTGCACTTGCCCCTGCTCTCGACGCCCTTGATATCGAAGAAGCGCAGGATCAGGCTAGCGAGGATAACTATCACCGCTGTAGCCGGGCCGTTTGTAATAATCAGATCAGGAGCATCCGCAGCCACAGCCTCATACGGCGTCTTGGGACCCCGACGTGTGCGCGTTGTTGTTGTCGTCGTTGTCGTTGTCGTTGTCGTCGCTCCCAACAACGGCTTAAAGCACGCGAGTAAAGTACGCAAGCACGACAGCGGCGTCGTCACCAACGACTGGTGTATCCTGCGCGCGCGCGGTACAACAGCAACATCATAGTGCTGCGGTCCTGTACACGCCTCTGTCCTGTCTGCCACACATTTTACATCCAAAACCCGCGTGTGGCCCTCTGTATCCGTGAGTTTCATCACTGGCCGCGTGGACCCTGGCGTCGTTGTTGCATTCTGCGGCTCGACATCCCCACACTGCTGCTGTTTCTCCTGCGCCTGTACCTCTGCCTGCACCCGCGCCCGCTCTCGCTCCTCCATCTCGCGCTCAAACGCCACAGCGCGCTTTGCGGAAAACGCGTCGCCGCTGCTCACAACATACGTCCTGTGCGTGTATTTCCTCGGATCGAGGTCGCGCAGGAGCCGCAGCATTTCGTGCGTGTGGCCCCCGGATCCGAGCACGATGAGCACGCGGGTTGCGAGCGGCCGCGAGCGGCGCAGCGGCGATGTTTTTGTTTTTGTGCTGGAGCGTGCCGAGGGGAGAATGGCGAGGAGGCGGAGGGAGGCGGCGACGAGTAGCGTGGTGAGTGTGGCTATGAAGAAGGAGAGGGTGTAGAGGGTCGATGGTGGGGGTGCTGCTGCTGCTGTTGCCATGGTTGGCTGCGGATTTGCGGGGTTGGTAGTGGTAGAATCTTTATTTTTTGGGGTTACTTGAATTGCGTGCAGTTGGAAGTATCGAAAAGACCGGTAATCGAAGGAATGCCTTGGTGCATTGTCGTTGGTGGCTTGGAGCTGTGCGGTGCGGTGCTGCTTGCTGTACGGTGCAGTTAAGGTCGTTGTACGTGTCGTGCCCCATTGGCCAATCGCGAATGGCGCACTCCGCACACGAGGTCACATGACTGGCGGCCGGTGTAAGTGCCTTGACATGTTTTCCATGTATGGTCTATTTATAACACTCAAACAAGAATTTGGATCATCTGGTGCGTTTACAATCGGTTCCTCTTATCTTCTGAATGGCTTCATGCAGGTAAGGCCTCTTTTAGTCACATGACTGCGGCGAACAATGATCTGACGTACAGAATGCAATGAAGCCACTACCGGGAATATACTCTATGAACCATAAAAAGGGTTGAGAAAAAAAATACACTGTAGGAAATGAGCGCAATATAGTCTATACCATCATCGTCTTGTCACCGCATACTCCCATTTGCAATAACATCTTCCCAAACTGGCCAGTAATGTTCCGCACCCGGTTCATCCATCTGCCAGATCAGACTTGGATTCTGCCGCATAATACTTTCGTATTCTCTCTTCAAAGAAGCCAATTTGTCACTCAAAACCCTCATCTCATTCACCGCCAGTCTCAGCTCCCTGCCCTTCGTGGTCGAAGGCGAGATCTCGCCTTTCAAGTCGGATAGTGGTCCGATGAGGCGTGTGAGCGTGGGAGGGAGGTTGTATCGGAAAGAAGCCTCGACCCATGACGTGACGGCGAAGCGCGACGAGAGGAACGCGCCCAAGGCAGGAAGGTAGGCTAGTGTATCCCTTGCCAATGCAGTAGAGTGGTGAGAAGACAGGGATAACGCACGACTTAAGTGTATAGGCCAGAAGAGTGCGGCGTAGCGTAGAAACGGAAGTTGAGTGTCGAAAGGTACAGTGCGTATACTGCTTGCTCTTGAGTTGTTGCGTGGAGTAGGCACGATAGATGCCACGGGATTGTTGTTATCGACGTCTGATGAGGACAGTGACTTGTATCCGCTATCTGCAGATGCCATTGTACGCTGACTCGCACTGCTACTCGTAGATTCCACAGGTGGTGTGGGTGGAATATGAGGTTGAAGAGCACCAAGTGGGCGCTTCGGTATGTCGTAGGCAAGATAAGAGAGACAGTTTGCTGCGAGATGCGCATGTACACTACTCTCATCGTACAAGCTGAATTCCGAGTCGTGGGAATGGGGAGACTGAAGAAAGTCGCACACGGATTCGTGGGCGAAAAGGATACTGTCATCTTTGATCAGAAGAAGACCGCAGGTGAGCTCGTCCAATGCGTTTACGATATCCACTGTATGGGTCTCACTTATTTCTGCATCGTATGTACACAAAGCCGCTCGTAGCGCAGCTGGCTCCATGCGATGAATTCCGTGAGATAGCCAGCGGAAACAATCAGTAATGATTCGCTTCTTGTGCTGTGAATGACGCGCCAGCGCATCAAGCATGGTACGGTAAAGCGGGCCCAAACCTTGCAATGATTGGGTGTGGAGAATAACAGTAACTCGTTCTTCTGATGAAAGAATAGGCGACTGAAGGAATCTGAGCAGCATGCTGGCCCATAAAAATTCGCCATTTGCTGTCTGTGTGAGCTGTGGAATGAGCGTCCGGTCCATCGATATCCCAAAAAAGCCTTGATCTGCCAGGCGGTTCAGTTCTGGTGCCAGAAAGCCTTCAATAGCCGCTGAGTTATGCTGGCTCGTGAGAGCGAAAATGTGGGGGGCATCGGATGCCCACTTTTGGTACTCCAACGGTATCTTCAAGTCTGGTCTGGAGAACAAGATGACCCTTGTGTCAGAAACCCGGCACAATCTTGCTAGTAATGTCAAGAAACCCTCCATATCAATACACTCGTCGATACCGTCAATCACCAAATAGGTAGGGTGCTGCCGTAAAAGCAAGGCCAGAAAGTTCATCACCTCATCGGTAGTTGCGTGTTCTCGAAATGAAGTTTTGCGTAGTAGAAGGCACACAGCATCCAGAGTTGAGTGATCGTTGTGGTGCGCTTGAAGCAGCTGACATGCAATAGCGCGGAAGGCATCGTCCGGATTGTTGTGTTCTGAATGGAGGCGATTGAAATGATAGTATGCGATGGCGGGTGGCTCGCCACAGAAATCGGGATCCTCGGCCTCAGCCACAAGGTTATCAATTACTGAGTGCGAAATCAAAGTTTTACCAAAACCGACTTGTGCTATGCCGAGTTAGTACCCTGTTATCAAGGATGAGGAAGACAGCCAGCATACCCTGTATGAAGAGCACTCGATGCTGCCAACTGTTCACCAAGAAATCCGCATCGTTGGCCACTGTCTTTTCAAACGGTCGGTTCCTCCATTTGCAGTAAACCGAAGTCTGTAAGAACCATGCACACGAGTCGGGATTGTATGGCTCAGGGCGGCGGTCGACTTGGCTCAGGGCAGATGAGCTGCAAAGCCAGCTCCGCGCTTTCTCCACTCTCCTCCATCGCTTTGCGGTTCTTTGCCCTTCATTCTCTGGAATGTCGCTGGCTCTGATTCGCTCTTGGTTGCGTAGAAAGTCAAGGTACTGCTTTCGATAATGTGACACGTCGGCATATTGCTGGACATGGTTTTGTGTTTCTCTCTCTAGCCATCTTCTATGTTTACCTAATCGCACCTCTAAACGCGTTAATCTAGAGTCGAGTGGCCGCCATGACACTGCGTGGGCTGCACCAAGAGTCAGCCTGCATGATCCCAACGCATATGCTACTAGATATAGGTCTGTGTCCACATGGAAGAGCCAATGGGCATCGACGGTGACTGATTCAACATGCACAAGCCAAAGGCGCAACGATTGATCATTTTGACGACGCGGCCTTGAATCAGAGAAGCTACAACGTACCTTGAGTGCCTCGGCAGAAGATGCGGTAGATTTCCAGAAACAGCTGTACAAGGTCGGCATAGACATGAGATAGGAGCGTTGCCAGGTCACCGTCTTCCTCTTTCAGATACGGTTCAGCGGTGTGTTGGCTAGAGGCATTGTACATGTGCTGATAAGGAGGCAGTACGTGGGCAATAGCCTCGAACATGTCGGCGGCTTTCTCCAGGAGCAGAAGGTAGTCGCTACTTATCTGTCTTGGCATTAGTACAGCCTACAGTCAGCTAGCTGGAATGCCATGTTACCTTGACTACGAGGCGGACTGCGCCCCAAAACCAATGGACCCATTCTGGCCGGAGCGTGATGCAAGTACTCAGAACGTCAAAGTATGGCGCAAAAGCCCGGATAAATAACACCAACTTTCGGCTGCAAGCCACCACGGTTGGGTCTGCGGCGCCGTTGCCAACAGAGACGCGACGCAGCTCATCCATCAACGACGCCGCCGTCGCATTGCTCTGGAAGTAAGAGCTGTGCTCTCGCATGATCGAGTTGCGTATTGCGGCGACTGCATCATCGAACAACGGTGTGGCTGGGCTATGGGCTGGGTTAGATTGGGTGCGAGGGGTGGGCGAGGAAGGGAAAAGACGCACGCAGGATGGGGCATTGTTAGGTCAGTGGTTTCCGTCCGTGAAGCCATTTTGGGAGAGAGCTGGAACTGGAGCGCCACTGTGTTTTGAATAGCGGATGCATTGGCACAGAATATTCAATATAGACTCTCGACGTTGAGCGGCAGTGACATGGCAGAGGCATGGAGGCGGCAGGGGCAGCGGCGCGCAGATATAATAAGGGTTTAAATTAGAATATGGACTGGCGCAAACGTAGAGCAACTGCAGCGCTGTATGGCGCCACGGGAGAAGAAATGGGTGTCGTCGTGGGGCTGAATGGATGCGTATGATAAGCGCAATGTGTAAGAGGAGGGTGGGTGAGGCCGTGTAGGCGGCCCTGTCATGGCCCGGACACACAGCACCATTGGGCGGGCGTGGGGGGAGCGCGGCCGTGCTCGGCAACGTGGGCGAGACGACAGGCCCATGCGACGACTTGCACGCACGGCTGGCTGGAGCCTCTGGGCCGGGTGCGGGGAGGCTTCTTTGCCATGAGTAACAAAAACTTGCTTCCCGTAAATGAAGCCTTGGACGACGACGACGACGGCAACGACAGCGTCAGACAGGCGCGGCAGCGTGAACAAACTATCATCTTGGGTATCACCTCAACACGCTACATAGCCAACTGCTCGGCCTAGTCAACAGATCTATGGTACAGGGAGTATTAGAAGGCGAGATACAGAAGCGAATGCCACCAAAGCTGTGGCTACCTGACTACGCCGACGCTGGCATGCCAAGCCGCAGCGCAAGCAGTGCACGCACGTCGGTGACATACTGCAAGCCCTCGAGCAGTGGGATCAGATGCAGCAAATCGTGGTCCGTCGGGTCGCTGATCCAGCCCTCAATGGGAATTGCATTGTCTGTTGCCCGCGTCAGTACACAATAGCCGGCAGTCGGGGGGCGTCCGGGCCCAGGGCGCCATCTTACCTGGATGGAAGACGTAGCTCAAGGGGCTGTTGTCAAGAATCATGACCTTGCTCAGGTCCGGCTCGACCTGCGCAAGGTCCTTGATGTAAGCCCCGTTGCGCACAGTGCAGTGCTGCCGGTAGTATCTTCCCGCAAAGTACTTGCGCTCCACTTCCAGCCAGTCAATGACGGGATCGGCGTACTCTTGGACCGATGCGGTGAATATAATCAGGTTGTACCACTTGCTGACCTGCTCAGAATGTCAGCTACACGCGCCGGCAAGACACCCAGCTGCCCTCGTTACCTTTTTCAAGAAGTCGTCGCAGTACGGCCGCTTGTGGACGTAGTACAAGAGCGGCACCTGGGGGCCAATGACCTGCCCGCCCGCGCCTACCGATGCCTGCAGCTTCACCTCGACCATATGGCCCGTCTGGAAGCGGCCGCCGTTGACGATGCTGTGGATCAATGTCTCATCGAGATCGATAATCAGCGTTTTCTGGTGCGGCCCGACGGCCGATGTGCCTTTGGCCGAATAAGATGGCTGACGCCGTGGCACCAGCGGGCGCGGGGGTTGAGGCGCGCGTGGGAACTTGGTCAACTGTTTGGCCGACACGGTTGCCGGGCCGGTAGGCGACTTGAGCGAGGCTGCCGTCTCGGATGCAACCGAATTGCTTTTGGACGACTGGGCCTTCTTTGCTGCCTTGCGCTGTCTCAGGGCGTCCTCGTTGTGGTGCAGTGTGATGCGGATCGATCTCTTTGCGGGGGCGATCTCGTCGGCCCGTGACAGCATACTCGACTTGGAGCGCGTGTTGCGCGACGGGCTGTCGTAGTCGTCGTCGCGCGTGGCAGGCCGCTCGCTCTCCGAGTCGGACGTCATGGCGGTGGAGTTGGATGCAATAGACAGCGAGCGCCGCGCGGGCTGCTTGGCCGAGGGCTGCTTGATGCTCGAGCTGCGGCGTTTGCGCGTCGTCTTCTCGTTGCTCCCTGTGGTTCCTGGGGCTCGCGCTGCATGTGCGCCCACCTTCTTCCGGCGCCCGCGTGTAAAGGTGCGCGTAATATGATACACAGGGGCTAAAAAGGAAAAGTGGCCGTCGTTGTCGTAGTAGAAGCAGGCGACTAAGCACTGCCCCGTATAGACAAAGGGGGTCGCCAACACAGCTGCCACGGCAACGATGCCATCAGAGATGCGCTGCGGGTACAGCCATCTGCGTCGCCGCGTCGTGTCTTCGTAGGGTCCTCTTGGAGACTGCTCGAGCAGCGGTGTTTTCTCGTCGGATCCGGATGCGACGGCTTCCGTGGTCGAAGAGGCGGCGCCGTTGCTCCTGTCGGCGCCCATCTTGCGCGTCTCGCTCTGTGCAGCGACTACACTCGCATCGTCAGACTGGGCGGACGGGGAGGGCCGGGGCGCGAGGATGGCGAAGGACTGTGGGGTAGCGTGATTGCTGGGGGGGCTACTGCTCTGATTGCCTATTCTGTATGGATGTGTGGACTATGGCCTCGCGGGGCGGCGATGTCGTCGCAATCGGCGAGAGCAGCGGGGAGAGGGCGCACAAAGCTGCCTGCAGGCCTGCGGGAGATGGTCTTGCTGACGGGCTGGGGGGGGGGGGTAGACTCGCAAGCAAGCCGAGGGCGGTGGTAGCGATGTTGCAGAGGGCGACTACAGGCAGTAAGTATGTAAGCAGAGGGCTGGGGGGGACCATGGCAATGACGAACAACTGGAGAACGGCCGTGCCCAATCGGAACTCGGAAAGCTCAATTTGGCTACGACTCACACTTTGGGTTCACGCAGACTCGAACAAGCAATATTCGCCCACGCGCCCGCCGCCTGCCGCCCGCTGCCCACACGCTTCCTCTTCCTCTTCGCCTGCACGAGCAAAAATAAAAAAAACAACCACCACCGCCGCCGCCGCGCCTGGACAGTCATCCCTCTGCGAACCCCACCACCCCACATACGCGCGCCCTTCAGTTGCACATCTTGAAGAACACCAGCCCGACTCTGCGGCAGAAACCTCCCAGGATGCAGGGCGCCACGATACAGGCTCCAGGCCTGTCGACGTACCTCAAATCGCTCAAGAGCACCCCGGTAGACGCCTCGGTCGAGCACTTCACTGCGTAAGCTTCAGCTTCAGCTTCACCGGGGCCCACGGCGCAACAGTAGCTGATCCCCACCCCATAGGCTTCTCAAGCGACGGCAGATCCGGAACTCACGGCCATGCGCCATTGCCACGACGGCCTTGCTCCTGCGCGTAGTGGGCGAGTTCAAAGGGAGAGACGCTGCCAAGCTCATTGAGCGCATCAAGCAGGTCGGCAGGCGGCTGACGTCGGCGCAGCCACGCGAGGTTGTAGTCGGCAACATTGTACGGCGCGTGCTGGGACTTGTGCGCGAGGTCGTCGAAGAGCACGCCGAGGGGCAAACTCCTACTGGCAGCGAGCCAGGCCATGCAACACCACACGCCCACCACAAGAACGACTCGCTTCACCGGCCTGCTCTCAGCTCGAGCATATCCACATTCAGCCCTCTGAGACATGCCGTCGCAGAGCCCATGTCGGCGAGTGGATACGCAGACAATGCCTCTGATGCCAGCGAGCCCTCGAGGCGGCCCCCGCTGCTCACCTCGCACACGTCGTACGCGCCTGCATCGTCGGCGCCCCTCGTGCACTCGCTGTTCGGGCTCTTCTCCCAGCCAGCAGATACGCCCTCGGCCACAAGCACGCCAACAGGACAAGCATCGCCGGTGGGCAAGGGCAGCCTCACTGCGCTCAACCTCGAGCGGCTTGCCGGCATGGAAAGGAGTCAGAATCTTGACCTCAAGGGTGAGGTCATGGAGGGCATACGAGAGCTGCAAGATGAGCTGGAGACATCAGACAAGCAGATTGCCGAAGTCGCGCTCGAGCACATTCACGCCAACGAAATCATCCTCACCCACACGGCCTCGACAACGGTCCAAAAGTTCCTCTTGTTTGCCGCGCGAAAACGAAAGTTTACCGTGGTACATGCCGAGACGTACCCCCACGACCACACGGCTACGCATGGCATCCTGCTCACTGGCAAGAAGCGAGAAGCCAACCCAGGCGACGACGAGGAGGACGACAAGTGGAAGCCGCTCACTGACGCGGGTATCCAAGTCTACGTCATCCCAGACTCGCACGTCTTTGCCATCATGTCCCGTGTCAACAAGGTCATACTCGCCACACATACTGTGCTCGCCAATGGCGGTCTTGTTGCAGCCGCTGGAGCGCACATGATTGCAATGGCAGCAAAGGAGCACCAGACACCAGTGGTTGTGCTCAGTGGTGTTTACAAGCTCAGCCCCGTCTACCCGTTTGACATTGACGAACTGATTGAGCACGGCGACGCGGGGGGTGTGGTACCGTTTGACGATGGCGAGTTTGTAGACAAGGTTGATGTCGCGAACCCCCTGTACGACTATGTCCCTGCAGATCTCGTCGATCTCTACATTACCAACCTGTACGTTGTATGCTCAAGACTGTTTGATGCGACTGCCGGCTAACTGTTGTAGTGGTGGACACGCGCCCTCGTACCTCTACCGCATCGTCGCAGACCACTACCGATCCGAGGACATTACTCTATAGTTTACGACTATACCATGCAGCCAGCAAGGCGTACCGTTTCGCCTTGCTTTGGCGCAACTGCCATGGTAGGCTCGCTCGGAGCCATACGAATATAATAGTCGATACACCGCATGTGGTCCATCTACAAGGAATTTACCCGTGCTCACTGCATTCTTTGACGCTGCATCTTCTAATACCATCTACACATCTCCCGGGGCGATTGGTCACGGAGTGGTGCCTCATCCGCACCAACTCATTTCCTGCACCGCATCATTCACACCATTGGTCACGCCTGTCCTGGCAGCGTGCCCTTCGGCCCTGAGCAATCCACAGCCATGACGAAACCTGCCACATTTGGCAGTTTGAACGCTCGGGGTGGTGGGTGAGCACTGCGCAGCGGGGGTACGGTGGCGTTCGTAGGGTGGGTGGTCGGGCGACGGCGAGCGGCGCTGTGTTTACTTTTTACAATCTTCGGCCGGCCTACGGCGCCTGTGAGGCTCGCGGGCTCGGCACGGCATTACATAGACACGACCTAACGGTGAGAAATTGGCCTGTTCCTGGCATGTTGTAGTGTCTTTCGGGCCGGGCTGACGAGAGGCTTCTTCAACTGTGAATGTCGCGCGACCCCTCTTTCGGCATCCGACGGCTGCTCTCAGGTGCCGCGGGTTCTTGCATGGCGGCCCGACCATTACGTGAAATGGCAGTCCATGGCGCAAGCTGAAATGAATCGCGTGGATAGTAACAAGGCTTTTTTTGGCCCTTTTGCCCGTCTTAGGAAGCTGCGCTCGTTGATAACGCGTCTTATCGTGTTCCTACATTACGTATGCGCGACAAGTGGATGCGCGTGTAGATCGCGATAATATGATACTTACATGGCCCACGTGCAGCGTCCAATACATCCCGTGAGCTCTACGGAGAACGGCAGAGATCTGTCGGTCGGGGGCATGCCATGTCGTTTCTCAAGCTTCAAGGGTTGCATGTTTTTTGTACCGGCGCTGCGGGGGGGATTGGAAGTGCCATTGTCGCCGAGTTTCTAGGTACGTGACGTGGTGTTGGATACTCTAGTGCACTTGTATGTGTTCAGTGACGCTTGGTACCTTGGTCTGTGTGTACAAGAGCCGACACGAGTGCCACTCTATCTGAATCCCTCTGCTAATACCACACAGCACAAGGCTGCAAAGTCACCGCCCATGACCTCGTCCCCAACCCCCTTGCGTCAACGAACCCCAATCTCTACTGCATCCAAGGCGACATTAGCTCCGAAGCCTCGATCCACGACTCCATCGCAGCCGCCATCTCCCACTTTTCACAACCCATCAGCATCCTCTGCGCCAATGCAGGCATCACAGATGAATCGTGCAGCTACCCCATCTGGGACATGCCCAGCAGCCTGTGGGACCGCACCTATGCGGTCAACGTGCGCGGCACCTTTCTCACCATCAAGCACTTTCTCAAGTCAGTGGAAAGATTCCAGGCCGAGATGGGCACCCAAGTGCCCAATGTGAGTATCGTGGTGACGGGATCAGAGTGTGGCGTGTTCGGGCAGGCGGGCCACGTCGAGTATGCGAGTGGCAAGGCGGGTCTGCAGTATGGGCTTGTGAAGACGGTCAAGAATGAGATTGTGAGACTGAGTGCCAGCGCGAGGATTAATGCCGTCGCCCCGGGCTGGGTTGATACCAAGTTAATTGCCGGAAGGCTGGATGTTGCGAGTGAGATGTGGAGGGAGGCCAAGGCTACGTATGTGCATTCGTTTTTACAGGAAGAACCGGGTTTTGTATCAGAGCCATGTATGCTGACGATTTGCAGCGTTCCGTTGCGCAAGATTGCACAGCCAACAGATGTCGCGAGGGCCGTGGCTTTCCTGGCTAGTCACCGCGCCGCAGGGCATATCTCGGGCCAGTGTATCTCGGTGGATGGCGGTATGGAAGGCCGTATTGTGTGGTCTGAAGATGAGATTCGCAAGGCACAAGAGATTGCTACCGTTGAGCCCGAGTCGCCTTCTACAAATACTGTTGAAGAGAAGTTTGGCACCGCTACTCAAGGCGTCTCTTTAACCACGGTGGATCCCTCGACTACATCTGATGCGATAATTTCGTCACTGAGCTCTCCCTCCAATGGTAGCCCCAAGCCCAAGATCAAAGTCCTCCTCTCCGTCGATTTCGACGCTGTATCCGGCTGGCTGGGGACCGGGCAGAACCCATCCAATAACCTCGCAGACTACAGCTCCGGCTTCTTCAGTGCCTACGTGGGCGTCCCACGACTGCTCAAGCTCTTCGCCAAACACGGCATCACCACCAAGACAACATGGTTCGTACCCATGCACAGCGCCGAAAGCTTCCCGCAAGAATTCGCCGCCATCAAAGACAGCGGCGCGGAAATCGGGCTGCACGGCTACTGCCACGAAGGCGCGCCGCAGCTCAGCCTCTCCCAAGAGCGCGAAGTCTTCGAACACTGCATAACGCTGTACCAAGAGCTGCTCGGCAAGCGGCCCTTGGGCTACCGCGCACCGCTATACCAGCTCCGCGAAAACACCATTGACCTGCTCGAAGAATACGGGTTCCTCTACGACTCGAGCCTCGCGCACCACGACAGCAAACCCTACTTCCTACCCAAGCTGCCGCCCATCCACGCCCCGGACTACGGCGCCCTTGCCTCCGCAAAGGACTGGATGAAGCCGCTGCCTGCGCCTGCGCCGCCGACCCCCAAGACGCTCGTGGAGATACCCGCGAATTGGTATGCAGAGGATATGACGCCCCTGCAGTTCTACCCCAACACGCCAAACTCGCAGGGCTATGTCGATGTGCGCGTGGTTGAGAACATGTGGAAGGATAAGTTTGACTGGATTCGGAGCGAGATGGAGGAAGGGGGTAGGGGGCGGGATGAGGATGATGCGGTGGTTTTCCCGCTTGTGCTACATCCAGATACGAGTGGCATGGCGCATGTGATTGGTATGGTCGAGAGGGTGGTCAAGTGGCTGAAGGGCTTGGAGGCCCAGGGCGTCGTGCAGTGGTGTACGTATGCAGAGGTTGCAGCGGAATGGAAGGAGAGAAATGCTGTTGGAGAGCTGTAGAACCGTGCTTGCGGAGATTGGGGCAATGCTCCTAAAGCGAATATGTGGAAGCTGGGTCGTGGGATCTTGAGTAGAGTATATTCGACACTGCAGAATAAGGATCCCATGTTGCTATTCACTTGATATTATGCAGAGACCAATTTGAAGTTTCTAAGCCTCTTCGCCTCCTTCGGCGTTATGACATTTTTTTATATCATGGATTGAATGAGATTTATAGGCATCTCCAGGCTCATATATACGAGAGACGTGTTTCTGAGATGGAGTGAGGAGTCGGTGTGGCGCTATCCGCAGCCTCCTCGTCGCTCAAAGAGGCAGAGACATTGCCCTTCGCCCTCGCTCCACGTTTCTCTGCCTGTCCCTCGGACCACACAGACACTTGCATCGACACCGCACCATATTCAGCCTGTCCCAAGCCTTAAGCACCACCTCATCAGCGTGTGCCTTGACCTCCATGTGTGTCTCCTCTTTCTCTTCTAACAGTCGCTCTCTAAACTCGGCCAACTTTTCGTTGCAATTGTCGTCGAAGGCGGCCATGTGGTCCTCTTTGAGCGCTGCGAATTCAAGCCTGGTGTCGGCGAGGTAATCTTCAAATTCTACGCTAGCCGAGTTGTGAAGCTCAGAGGTTTGGTTGGAGGCTTCATTGAGAGTATCGGTCAAGAGTCTTTGGAGGTGCGTCTCGGTACAGGTGCTGATAGCAGCTCTCATGACTGCCGCGGGTGTGGGTTTGTAGTTTGGAGCTCGATCATGTTGCGGGCGTGCGCTCGCGGTTTGGCTGGAATGTGATCTTGGTGATGAAGACGGCGACGGCGAGGAGCCAGCAAGCATTCCTGGAAGCAGTTCTTGCACCAGGCTGGGAAGCTGGGCGCGTAGTAGATCTGGGAGCGCTTTTTTAACGGCGGATGTGACAATGTCTTGGAAAACGTCCACTTGAACGGTCGAGGTGGAAGAAGCTATGGACTTGGCGCGCTCTGTTGGCGAGGACGCTTGTGTGTGATCTTGGAGAAGGCGCTTCGGTAGAGGAGAGTCAGGTGTCAAGCTGGTGCGAGCTAGGCAATGTGCATTAAGTAAAATGTTGGCGTTGTCCGACTAGAAGACTTACCGTCTCTTGGACGCTTGCCCGACACATGGGCATATGAAGGTGGAGCGTCATGTAACGCATCTTCAAAAGGAGGGGCTTCAGCTACCGCATCCTCGATAGAAGGTACAGCTTCGGATGTCAAGTCTTCAGTAGGAAGATGAGCTTCAGACTTGACATCCAGAATGGAGTTGAGAATTGACCAGTCGGCCTTTTGATACAAACGTGCGAACTGAGGGATAACCGGAACCCCAGTGAGCTGCCTAGAGCCCTTAACGGCGCTCTGGAGCCGGGCGAGATTGTTCTTCCCAAGCCAATTTATATCAAACACGATGCGTACTTCTGTGGCTCTAGCTAGGGTCAAGAGCTCGTGGAAACCAGTAGGGAGGCTGGACACTCGATTGCCAAAACTGTGCGGGTACCATACAGAACAGGGTGCTTTGAGCATCAGCGACAGCGTCCGGGGGCGAGGTTGCCCATGTCGTGCGATGCTATCCAGCGATCCATCAGGGAGAGAAACAGCGACATTCTCGAGCGACGTCTTGCCGGGCATAAGATTGTCGCCTTCATAGCGAAAGGTAATAAGTTGCTTGTCGTCAATCCCATGGCTGGAAATGGAGTGTCCGAGAGACACGACAAACTGTGCGTCCGAGTAGAGAATCTTCAAAGAACATGGCCATAATACAGATGCATCATTTATAGAATACGCCAACGCGGAGACGCCATCGTTGCGAACGAGATTTTGTACCATTGTTCATTAGTTCTTTCTATAGCAAATATTTACCTGACACTATATGCCCCCTTGCAACGAAGCAGGCGATATGCAGCAAAGGCAACCCACCCACCCGGGCTTTCGCGTCGGTCGCAAAGAGCAGCCCTGACTCTATCACCACAGCAGCAGCAGTCGCCAAATCGTGGACCACTAAGCCCGCCTTTTTTACTGCCTGTGCCTTGCTTGAGTATCGCCCCGAAGATGCGCAGATCGGAGCGCGTGTGGCGCGAAACCGATCAGCTGTGTCAAAGGCCTTGCAGTAAGGATGGCGTACTGGGGCAAGGCGCCAGGCAGGTAATCGGGCGGTTCAGCGGCTGACGATGGACTGCAACCGCGTGCGCATCCGAAGGGACGGGGTTGGGGAGATGGATGAAGATGAATGGAGATGCGGGTGGAGGTCGAAATCGCGTGATGGAGGTGAGGGAGTCGGGTTGGTTGTAGATGGAGATGGGAGGGGGAGGTTGGTGTTGAGTGCTGGATAGCGCAACGCGGACGCTTGGCATTGCGCTATACCAGGAATGGACGAACAACAGCATCACTTCACAGTGATGTTCACAGTGATGCAACGTTGGGAACTATCAATACCGCTGACTGTAGAAGATTTGGCTCAGGGATTCTATTGAACTTCTGAGTCGTCTTATCAATGCATCATTGCGGAAGATACGCTCCGCATTCTCATGCAAATATACTCTCAGATCCACTGACTGCTACTTTTATCGTGGACTCATGGTCCCTGCTTACTTTTTGTACGTGTCGTAAACATTTACAAGCTTTTCAATTGCGTTTACGAAGAAGGTGGAGCCAGGTTCTCAAAAATAAGCTGCGCGGTCAAGAAAACCGAGCGATAGTTCGACATGGCGGCCGTGGCTGCGGCCTTGGGGCGCCAAGTATCATCTTGAGGCTATACTATCCTTTTCTCACAAAGTCATGTAACTGGGGGTAATGAGCATGAGATAGAAAGATGGTGCAGTCGTAGGTGTCTCTAATGACATTGTACATTGCAACTCGGCGGCCCGCAGAGATCCTTGCTCTTGTGTATAGAGTCGTGTCGATCATAAAAATCCTTTCCATCAATTGGGATAAAGTAATTTTATTTTCTCAAGGCTCACATGCTCCTTGACATATTCTTTCTATTTCTACTCTTTATAGTGCTACTCTACGCCTACGTGCAAAGGTCATTCCCAGCTGAACAAAGGTCCGTACCGGTACCCGGTTTTCGTTGAAGTCCCAGATACGTTTCCGGGCACGTGAACTTCCCGTCAACCTCATTTTTTTGGCAACAGACCCTGTAATATCCATCTCCCTTGATGTATGCACAAGCTCGCTGCGCCGTGGCTAGTGGGGCTAGTGCGAAGACCGCGAACAGGATCTGTGATAGGTGCATAGTTGCTAATACTTAATCTTAGCTACACTTATTCACTTGGTTGGAAAATATGCCTTACTGCAATGGTAGTAATCAACCAATAGTCTTTAAATAGTTGGCGCGAGATAGTTTGAGAAGAGTTTTTTTGCGGCACTATGTTCTTATATTTTAAATCACAGGCAAACGTAGTTTTATATAGCCATAGCCGCCTTGATTAATAATATATTATGTGTCCAAACAGGTGTCCACATTCGATAGATACTAAGATATAACGTAAGACAGAAACTTACGGAAAGAAAGGCAATGTAACAGGTAGGCTAGGCACTTGGCGTTTACGAATACCAAGGCTTTGCTCACTAAGCGCTCAGCAATAGGAACGACGTTACTGTAACTAGATGATGTTACAACGCTCAAGCAGTAGTAAATAGCTTGTTATTGAATACAATCCTGTTTACACCTAAGTATTCACTCTATAGAGGGTAGTCCCTTACAAGCCATGTATAACGTGATAGATAAGCGAGTCGGTCAGACAAGCGAGTCGGTCACCTCACTAACTTTGCGCACTTCTATAAGCGTATAGCTCCACCATATTATATTAGTTTTGGTAGATATTAACGCAATAGATTAATTACTATCTAGACTATCTTTCTTGCATGTACGTAAGTTATGGCCAGTCTCTCTGCACCTACTACAGCGCGCTAGAGCCTGGCGGCTGACACCTGATCGCTCTCCTCCCTGACGCTCTTTATAAGCAATCTGCTGATCAGCCTCGCGCTAAGCGAGTAGATCCTCTCCAGCTCCCTTTGTTAGCACTCCTTGCTTCTATATCCGCTTCCTTTTACGCTGCCTACGCTTTATTGCTGCCTCGTTAGCCCTTTTAAGGCTAGTGATCTAATCGCGCATTAGCTTAGCTAAGAGCATTATAACCTTAGCCCCCTTCTTAAGCTAGTTAATTGCTACAATAATTAATGCTAGCGAAGAGCTCTTATACCGCTAAACCTGATCACGTATTAGCGTTAATTGAGCTTCAAACTCGCGTGCGTTACTTGGGGTACGAGCCTGCTAGAGAGCCTCTGCGACAGCAGCTACTAGAGTAGTAGGCGTGCGCAGCTTTATGTCCAGCTTTGATAGAACAGCGTCTAGCTAGAGAGGAACAAGGCCTGCGCCTTAAAAGGCTAAGCGGATATTAGCTGGCGTGAAAGATCGATCAAACGCTGTCTTAAACGCTAGCAGAAACTCAAGCTTAGTAATGTGGTTGATGTAGTTACGTATCAGGCTCTCTACCTCACGGCTATACGCGCGCTTTAACGGCGAGAAGCAGCCAACGTCAAGAGGTTGAAGTAGGTGAGAGGAATGTAGCGGCATACAGAGCGTGTAGATATTATTCTCCTTGCAAAGCTCTTGAAACTCAAGAGACTAGTGGCTCTTATAGCTATCAAGAACAAGCAGACGACGTATGCCAACAACGCGAGTCTTTGTGTGAGCATCAAAGTGCTTTAGCTAGGCAACACCTAGCTCGTTGTTCGTCCAGCCGTTGTCGCTAACTGCGATCGCCTAGTCGCGTGGGATCTCTGCTTCCTCGTACTAGGCAGATAGATAATATTTGCTAGCGAAGATAAGGAATGGTGGAACTGCCTAGCTAGCTGCGTTAATCGCTGCGATTAGCGTCACCTACCCACGATTGCCTAGCTTAACTACCTTTAGCCGGCCTCTTCTCTCTAACGCTGTTACAACTAGCTAAGTTGCGATCTTGCCTATTATAAAGCTAGCTTCGTCGAAGTTGTAGACGTCCTCGTTATAGATGCCGTACTTAGCCTTTGTCTGCTCTACAAGCTTAAACTAGCTCTTAATTAGGACTAGATCTTCACATAGAGCTCTCTACCTATCGTACGCTCGATTAAAACGCGTCGTAAGACTGTCTGTACGCTTGACAAAGTTAGCTAGCCACTTCTGCCTAACCTAGCCAGCGCCGCGCGCAGCTAGCAGCTTATTAGCCATATCGCGTATAGCGGCGTACGTGGGCGCAAATCCACGTAAGTTAAGATTAAGTATAACTATAACTAACTATTACTGTGTTCCACTAGTAAGCTGCGCACCCCAGTAAGCTGCGCACCCCACCAAATCCTCACAACTCTATCTGCGCCAACGACCATGACTCAACAACCACGGCCTAAGGTGACATCTCGTGAAGGTAGACTAAGTCTCGCGATGGTCTCCTATTAGAATAAACCATGCTAATTAATCTAAGCCCTCGCGAGAGCGTATGACGTACTAGAATCTACTCTCTAGACGCGTCTCTGTGGTGTCCACCCGCGATCAGAGATAGTCTCTGTCAACTAAAAGCTATCAACTACTAAAGAGCAGTCTCTCGTGTAGTGGATCCTAGACCTTAATTAACGAGGCTTTCCACCCTATATAATTAATGTACGACGCATGGCAGACGCTCTACTCGCAGCCCGCGGCCAAGATCCACCTCCTCCACCTGTAGGCAAGAACTGGATGTCGCGCTTTGTCAACAGCCAGTCTGAGCTTCAGACTAAGTGGAACAGGAAGGTCTATAGCCAGCGCGCTCTCTGTGAGGATCCTGTCGCAATCTCAGCGTGGTTCAACCTAGTAGAGGAGACGCGCCAGGCCTATGGGATACTAGACACAGACACGTACAACTTTGATGAGACTGGCTTTATGATAGGCGTCGCAGCGACGTCCAAGGTGGTCACTAGCTCTAACACTATAGATCGGGCAGCCACAGTACAACTAGGGAACAGAGACTGGGTCACGACAATCGAGTGTATCAACGCGTCTGGCTGGTGTCTTCCACCGTTCGTGATCCTGTCTGGTAAGCAGCACCAGGCTAGCTGGTACCACCACATCCCTATAGACTGGGTGCTCGCTGTATCAGACAACGGCTGGACGACAGATGAGCTCGGCGTAGAGTGGGTAAAGCACTTTAATAGATATACAGCGCCTCGTACGCATGGAGTCTACCGGCTTCTTATCCTAGATGGCCATAGCAGCCACGCCACGCCTGAGTTCGACCAGTACTGCACAGAGAACAAGATCATCACTCTCTGTATGCCAGCCCATACCTCCCACCTGCTCCAGCCACTTAATGTGGGCTGCTTTTCCCCGCTCAAGCGAGCGTACGGTCACGAGATCCAGGAGCTAGCTCGCCAAGGCGTCTACCATATTGACAAGATAGACTTCCTTACCGCCTATACACGGATCCGGCCAGCAGTACTTACGCAGCAGAACATCCAGGCAGGCTTCCAGGCGATAGGGCTTATCCCTCCCTGTCTAGAACGCGTCCTATCGTCGCTCACTGTCGTCCGTACGCCGTCTCTACCAGGGACAACAGTAGACAACAACGTCGTATGGACCGCAGAGACACCGCGTACGATAGCGTAGCTTAAAAAGTAGGCTCAACACGTAAAGGACCTCCTTCACCGCTAGTCGTAGAGCCTAATAAGCCAAGCTATACGCCAGCTTGTTAAAGGTTGTTAGCTTGCGATGAACTCAGCGACTATACTTGCAGAGGAGAATAGGAAGCTTCGTACAGCTAGTCAGCGCCAGCGACGTAGGAGAGACTAGCGACGTCAATATATAGCTCGTGGAGGAGCGCTATAGGCCTAGCAAGGCTAGTAGCTCGCTATAGAGGCAGAAAGGGTGGTCGCGGAGGTAGAATAAGCTTAGGCTACTTAGGGACGTTAGCGCGCACCACTAACGTGTACGAAGTGCCATATCTAAGGACACACTAGGACTTAATGTAGATAGTAATAGACTAGCTATGTACAAGATTGTATTCTATTATCTTATGTTGTTGTAGAGCTATCGCGTAGAGAGTCGCGTCAAGTTAGGTGGGGTGCGCAGCTTACTGGGGTGCGCAGCTTACTAGTGGAACACAGTACCTCCTCTTCTAGCTTAGTAAGCTTCTTTAAGTTAAGCTAGCAATCGCGTTGCGCGCGCTTCCTAGCGCGTTAGTTAATTAGTGTTGATTTTAGAATATTAAAGGCTATAGCAGCGCGTTAGGTACTTTAGATTTAGTTTCTATCTAAAGAAGAGAGAGCAAGCTGAATATCTGCCTCGTGAGAGATTAACTAAGAAGCGTGGCTTGGAGGCATTGTACGCAAAGGTGTGGTAGGTGATCAAAGTTGGTAGGGTGACCGACTCGCTTGTCTGACCGACTCGCTTGTAACGGGCTAAACGCCTTTCGCCTCCCATACTCGTCTACGACCTCGTTTACTCCACCTGCCTAGCCCGATTGTTACCCTAGCAACCAGCATTGTATATAGATAGCTACGTAGCCGAGAGCTTAGCTCTCTATCGAATACAATCTTGTTACCTTGGCCTGTCCGATCGTGCTCCCGAGCTTAAGACTACCCTCCGGGGTCGAGCCCCTTACATCGCTTATCCGTCACGTTATAGTTATATGATTTTATGTTTTTGCGAGAAGGAGGATGGGTATCACTTCTGATAATACATCGACAAACTTGGACAGGCTCCTATTACCAGCCAGGTACACAAATGGATACAACAAATGAAGTACGCAATGTACATAATTATATATAGAGAATATAACAGGTATAGTACCTCACCACGATTCTAAATTATGTACTCAACTACGTTGTGAAAGCCACTGCATCCGCACGTCAAAATCACTCATAAAACGAATAAGGGTAAAAACTAATTGAAGTAAGCGCTAATGCTGTATCCCTGTCCTTAATTAAAAGCAATACAAGCAGCACTGTCAGTGGTCAAATCAGCACTAGATCTATCTGAAGGAGAACGACATGTGCATCTCTCTGATTGTTGCCGGATCCGACGGCCTAAACAGGTGCCCTCTTAAGGGGTTGCGCATTGACTATCTAACTACTACTATTTTGATCGTCGCTATCACAGACTACATAACACGTCCTTTGCTCATGAGAAGATACTGTAACTATCTCCACTTTATATATACTATCATTCTTACTCTATAGACAATACCAGAATAAAACTAAAGATGAAGGCCCCTATTATCTCCATTACCACGATTGTGGTTGGCATTATGACGCCAGCTGTAGCGGCTGGTACTAAATGCGGCGTGGCTACATCATGCGAGGGTGTTACATAATATCTACTAATTAGGCTGAAGAAAGTTATAGCTAACGGCTGCAGACATGCGTAGACGAGTGGAGGTATTGTTCTCTTGGTGGAGGCGTTTGTAGAGACGGATCAGACTCAAACCATTGCTTGGATGGTGCCTGTGTAAGTATAGTACAAGTCTATACGTGATAATTCTATCTGACAATTACTAGGGATATGATGAAAATGGAAACAAACAGTGTACTCTTACGTGCATATGTGACTAATGATTAGATATTAGATTATCATGCAATAGCAGGCGATTCTTCTTTTACCTTCTTGATATCTTGTCTGCGAAAGCTCTGCCGTCTAAGCAGCCCTAGCGCGCTTAGAAAGGGTGATATTGCCTACTTCGTCGGTCGGAGGCCTAGGCCTAAGCACAACATTTGTAAATCTTATAGTAGAGAGTGATCAATCTATCTACAGGCATATTTATGAGAGCACTTCCAAAAATCTCGATTGTAGTATTCAAACTTGAAGGATTTGAATATAATTTTCAATGCTATTATTACTTCTCTTATATTCCCCAAAATCATTTCTAAGAGTGATTCACTCTGCTACAACAAGTAGTAGGTAGGTAGCGCGTTGGTAGCGAATCCGGTGCGGTGGTGGGCAGCTTCTGTGGTGGTGAGAAGCCTCTGGGGTAATAAACAGTCTCGGTCGTGGTGGTGGGCAGTCTCATAGATACAGATCCTTCAACCTTGCCTCAGTAACAGTATAACTGCAATCAATGCCAGGGAGATTCTCTCCTCTAACAACCTGGGGTGTTTGGCGGACAACTCGATGCGCTTTGCACAAGTTCTAAACCATTCCGGTATGGAGCGCATGGAGAGTCCGGTGAGCCGCAACAAGCATCATCGCTGTTAGCTGTATTATAGTAACAATAGGCATCAGCGGTAACTAATGGAGCGAGTGCGGCGATGACGAATACGAGCTGTGATAGCTGCATGGTCTTGGCAACTACAGTGTTAGCTGGGGTTCTTGTATGCATTCTATATGTACTTACTCTCAAATTAATAGCAGTTATTGTAAATAAAGATATATACAAATGGTTGTTCCTTTTCGACGTGCTCTTGCTGTGAGTTCGTTACTGTGTAAATACAAAAAGTACGATCATTACGGGACGGGAGAACTTTAATATTCGCGGCAGTGATATAAAAAGTATCCATAGACACGTGTTAACTCTAAAGTGACATCATGTTTTTCACCGCAAATCTATTCAGAGTTTGATAACCCTAGTCATTGATTAGCCCAAGACTTACTCTATATGTATGCTAAATTGTATTATACCGCACAACAAGTGTTAGATCATCCGAGTGCTCTCCAAAACAACAGACTTCTAGCCAGTCCTTGTCTTTGCGCGGTAAACTTGGTGCTGCTACCAAAACATCAAGGCTAACAGATGCGTCAAACTACAGCGAAGCGAATCTTTCCCTGGAGAACGAAGTGTTCTCGTCAGGAGGTAAGCAATTTTTGTCAGCACTTTGATAAGGTTTGGCGTCAACTATCAATTGTGACATGAGCTATCAATCATGTCAGGTTACAGCCCTGAAATTTCATCTATATGTAAAACATGAGCTCGATCAAACACTGCATCGATTCTCCGCTAGTGTGAGTTTCTATCAACGTTACTGTGATACAGTGCATGTAGTAGCTTATTAAGACGCGCGTCCACCTATTTACAGACCGCGCTGGGAACCCTACCCCTGGAAGTAGAAACGGTCTTCTATTCCGCCTTTTGTATTGAGCGAGTAAATGATGTTCGTTCTTTTCTGCCAGCAATCGTGATACGCGTCTGCCGTGTTGATTGTATTCTTGCATTCTATCCAACGGTCCCAACAAAGACACCAAAAGCCATTTGGCGGTCGGCCTTGAGCTTCGGCAATGCCTGGCTGCACGGCATCAGGTATAAGGATCATCGTCTCACGTAAGGCGGCTGGGCTATGGGTAAGCACCAACTCCCATGTTGTAAGCACCGTGGCCAAGAAGGCCGCTTGAAGTACAGGCTATGTCAGTGGCAGGAAATCAGCCGGATAGAAGCGAGAGGTTATAGTAGAATGGATCTATAAGTATATCAGAAGAGATGAGGAAGATGTAGTTGTGGTAAGGCTAAGTTAAGGATACGCCGTGTGTAGTAGCATTTAATTTACTGTCAGCAGTAGACAGATCACCAGGTGGCATGTATAGCGAAGCTGACGCGTTCAGGAAGACCCTGGAAACGTTTGTTCATAGTAAGATGATTTTCCGTGAGATTGACTAGGATACGCCGCTACCGTGGCAGTACACAACATCAGAAGCATTCAGAGCGTGGCAATTTTCCTCAAGCAACAAGCAAGCTGGAAGACTCAATAAGAAAAGCGTTCGCGTCAGCCTTAGGTACTAGCACTTACCCAAGATCTTACTCTAGACATCCTAAACGGTTCTTATCTATCATGTAAGAATTGTTAAGAGTGTCGTAGAGAGTCGATGTTCTCTCTAATTACCTAAGATAAGGAAGGTACTTATGTATAGCCGAAGAGGATTCGTATTCAAAGTAGATGGAAGTCCTGGCTAGAATGAGTTTTTGTTTTTTGTTTTATCAGTGATTCTAACTCGAGAGAAGGCAAAGCGCACTTAACGCGATCTATACCCAACAATATACGTAGAGAATGCCGTCGTTAATTTCATGTACATATGGACGCTCTCGGGTAACCCGTGCGAGTAAAGCAAATATCCGCAATGAGTTTTCATTCAGAGGTTCTTGGGAATACTGTGGTGTTCCCAGTGACACAGCCTTGCCACTGCTGCCTATATTCTATGGACTCTTTTGGTATCTATATGCTCCCACTCCGTGCTAAGATATTATCTTCCATGGCAAGAAAACCTCGCCCTACCTTCACTTCATAAAACACTCCCACGTTTTTATCCTAACTGATTGTGGAATCACTCCAAAACCCGGGCCCTCGAAGCTCGAAATAATGCCGGACCAATCACCAACCACGATCGTCGGCTGCCTGCTCGACGTCTCCGGCTCTATGCGCTCTGCGCTCGAGATCGGCCGCGACAACCACCAACCCGCCACGGACCGCTTCCATGCTATCCTCTCAGCAGCGCCTAATCTTGCGCAGGCCGAGCAGAGCCATGAATCTAGCGCACTTATGTTCGTAGGCGCGTTCGGGCTACTCGAGGAAGAGGCTGCGGTTGTGGATCTTTGCGCCGTTGTCGAGGCGCTTGTCGGTGAGGAGAAGGATGAGGGGAAGTCTGGGCATGACCTGTTGATTCGGATCGCGAATGAGAAGGGGCTGAAGCATATCTCAAGGTATATTCGTACGAAGTTGATGGATGATGAGGCGAGGATGGTGTATGTACATTTGGGGCTACATCCGGAGAAGATCCAGGAGTTTGTCGAGGCTATTCCTCCTCTGGATGAGGTCGAAGAATTGCAATGGGCTCTGGAAAAGGGAGAAAACGCAATGGAATTGTCTCACAAATTCCTCACAGGCTTTCCGTCTAGGACAGAAAGTGCAGCATCTGCTAGTTGCTGCTTTGGAAAGGCCGTTAGAGGGTACATAGAGGACAAGGTGGTCGACAGATCGGAAGCCATACAACTCGCTCGCCGCATCTGCAAAGAATGGCTGCAAGACTTTGGAAAACTGAAGCTGCGTAAGATGGAAAAAGTGATTAAGTTGCTCCAAAAGCTCCAGCAGAAGGACCAGAGTAAACAAACGGCTGGCAACAATAGCGACAGCCAGAATATGGAGCCGAACACCTTGCTCGACAAGCTCCGCAAGCACGTATACGGAAGAACACCGATGCAGGAGTCTCTTAGGCAGTCGTTGGAAGTATTCAAACGTACAAGAATATAGAGAACCGTATACTGGTCCTCTTATCCGACGGTGTATCGACCGACGGCGACCCTCTACCCATTGCCGAGGAATTGAAGAAAGAGAACGTGGTCATCGCAACAGTGTACCTAACCAGTAATCCCGCAACCAATTTCCAGCGCCATCTTCACTACAACGCCGTGAGCGACTGGAACGACGGGCAACGGGTGCTCTTTAACATGGCGCATCAGGTCTCCTGCCTGAAGCACCCGATCCCCGTGCTCGCAACTCTAGGCTGGAAGATTCCCTCGGCAGGTGAGGCCGCTCTCTATGCCACGGTCAACAGCGCGGCCGCGCTCGACGAGTTCTGCTCTATGCTACTGACCGCTCGCTTTGGCTCGGCCGAAACCGTGCTCGATATCCTCGGCCGCATCGACATGGACAAGTACGTCGATGACGAGAATGTCCGCAACTGCAGTAACCCGTCCGACCAGGGCAACGCTGGAGTCTGCTACGCACATGCCGCAGCTTTCGTTCTACACTCTGCCCTGCTCCGCATCGTTGGCCGAACAAACAGCTACCCGACCATCGAGCAGATCCGCAACCGCATTCTTAATGAATTTCGAGCACGCGATCGGGGTTGGAACACCGAAGAGGTGCTTAGGACAGCCATAAAATGGTACCCACCGCTGCGCTTCGACAAGGTGGATGAGGACGCCGCGCGCCAGGCCGTCCTGCGCCGCCGCTTCATCCTTTCAACATTTCATCTCCCCCAGCCCGGCTGGGACGCTTTCGGCCGCCATTTTGGTGGCTCTGCAGCTTCATGTCGTGACGTCCTCTCGCGCGAGATAATGAAGCCCTATCGCGACTTGAAAGCGGCCGGCGGCCATGCTGTCGCACTGGTCGGCTGTGCGCCGCAGTCATTGACGTTTGTGAATTCGTGGGGAAAGAATTGGGGTGATGGTGGGCGCTTCAGCGTCGAGGACTCGCACTCTCTCACTTCATTATACAGGCGGGACAATGGGATGACCACACGTATTGACGCTTGCTTCTACGATGTATACTGGTGGGAGAGTGGGCTGGATAGCGCAGAGCGGGCAGCGTATCAGCGGCATGTGCAAGAACGGTTGCGTAAGCGCGCGCAAATGTATCCGGAGATACTGGAGGCCAAGTTGCAGTGTCCAAGTTGTCGGACGCTGTCGCCGGTCATCGAGTTTGGAGGCGATATTTGCAGGGTAGTTTGTCCGGCAGAGGGGTGCAGAATGCAGTTTAAGCCTGAAGGGGAGCAGATTTTGCAGGCGCTTTATGTGCGGGCTGGGGTGAGTAGTGCCATGGACTGAGTTCTTTGGTTGAGGAGGAGTATGTTGTCTGGCTGGCTTTGATCGATCTTCAGGACGTTAGTGTATAATCCATGCAGGGGAAATGGAACGTGGTGAGGTATAGTAGTTACATTATATCCTTATCTAGATCATGATGGAAGTTTGATCAAATTCATTGATCGCGTTGATATCAGTCGACTGCCGCAAAAGTTTCATGATAAATGTAGCCTCGAAAGCCTCGAAAATTTGGTTCGTTAACTTGATCCCTTCAAGGAAACCCTTCGCTGTGTAGTGCACAAAGCGAACTGTACGGGTCTTCTCATCGATGACAACTAGTCCACAGCAGAATTCAACAATATCGACGTCCCTCGTTATTCGTTGGAAATCAAAATTCAGTTTCAGTTTGTCGACGTCCACGGCGAGGGCGCGCTGGAAGCCTTCTTATACTTATCATGTTCTCGCCATTATGCCCTGATGCTTCTGAGAAGATAATCTCGGCGTTCGACCAGCTGGTGGATTACGCTATCTAGCATCCGTTCGGTTGTGGGTGGATAAGATGAGTTCAGGTACACGAACGTCAGTCCGGTTGCTTTTGGCTTTTTCGATCTAGTGATCAATTTCTTGAGATGCTGTTCGAAGAAAAAAGATGTGAGATGTCAACATGTGCAAAAAAGACTTGTTCTCTAGTATTCGTACACGTGGAGCATTTTACCTACACCCGCTAGCCAACCTTGACTAAACGAACCTACATCATTCATGTGACGACTCGCGCATGTCTGTGCATCAAATCTTTCACCCTCCTATAACGGCATGTTTCCAGGCACGAAACAGCCTCGAGTCAAGAAAGCGTCTCCGTGCTTGAGGCGGGACCTTCTTAGCCACTCTTTCCTCAGCAGGAGCTATTGAAGGGAATACCAGCGGCGACAGCCGGGCGAATGCCTATTTGCGCTCGCGCCCATCTAGTTTGGTCGAAAGTCCGGTTGACTGCGAGAATGGAACTGTGGCATAGCTTAGTAGAGAGCCATCGAGCCGAGGGGAGACATACTATAGCCAGCATGTCGAATGGGTTGCAGTCCTTTTTTTCTGAAACATCGCCGTCGCGCAATGCTTCAAACCCTTAGAGCACGTTAATATCCTCCGCGATTATAAGTATGTAATACCACCTTCTACACACATAGACATGGCTTACTTCTCGTTTCGCCCTCTCTTCCATGTTTACTTCTCATGCTTTGTTATTACGAAGATGTGATCGGCCGGGTTGAGGCAAAGTCGTCAAGGTTATCTTGCTCGCGCAGTCGGGGCGTTCAAAGAGGTCCGCATCCGGGCTCAGAGGGGAAGGAAGGCCCAAATCTCGACGTTTGGCTTGCGTATGCGGAGGGGCTCCGATATGTTCTGTTGAGTATATATAGTGAGTTTAATATCGTTTATTCAAACGAATCATTTACGCTGTCTGGCGGATCTCTTTCTTGAGAAATTTGGCTCTGACGATTAATCTCCAGAGGCTCGACGTTCTGGAGCCAATTTCCCACGTTATCGCAAGGTGTAACACTTTGTCCGTCTTTGTTGTCTTTATCGTCGTCGCCGAAATCCTCCTCCGTCCACTCAGCCGCTCCCGACATAGCAAGGACACGTTGAAGGTGCCACTGCAACGTCAAGAGACCTGAATCGGGGAGGGGTCGCTTGACTGGGTCATCGGTCGACATTGTAAATCTAGTTCCACTGACTAGTGGAAGGTAGATGGTGTCGTTATTAGGATCAATTCGATCGAGTGGGCCGTAGCCTCCGCCAGCTGAAAGCCGGCCAGCCGAAGACAAAGGTTCGTGCATGATATCCACCTTGTCGTGGCGATTGCGCTCTTCAACAAAAAGCCAGTGAAACTCGAGTTCGAGTTTTGTCTTGTCGTCTGACAGTTGTATCGGTCGGAGCGCAAATCGGGCAGCGGAGTGAAACCGGTGCAAGGTGGCTGAGAGGGAGATCATGTTCTCCACTGTCTCCGTTTCCGACTTACTACGCCAACTCTCTACTAGTTCTTCTTGCCAGAACATCTTTAGAGTATTCCAGAAGTTCGCCACTCGCTCCTTATTCTGGCCTCCAACACCGCACCATGGGTAAATATGGGCGGCGTCGATTTCCGCCATCCTCGAGACCGCGCAAAGGTTCCCATCCCGCTTCTTACAGTTTGACCGAACGCCATCGTGTCGGCCAACACTGTATTCTTGCCCGCCAATTATATGTCCAGATCGAGTTCGCTTGGATCCGGCTTGTACGTTGGCGTTGAGAAGACGAGAATTCGCGGATGGTTGGTTGGAGACACGTTTAGGTTGCGAGTGTGTCGGCGATGCACTTGATGCTGTCGAGTATGTTTTCGGTTGTTTCTGGGACCAGAGTAGAATTGTGTCCAACGCCTTTCTTTCTGTAATGCGGCAATGTTCGTCTTTCGCGAAGAGTCGCCATGCGAAATGGCTCTGAGCCACCTCCCGGATTACCTCGATATCGGCGATCTGAAAAAAACGCCCATGTAATCGAAGGTAAATCCGTTTGGTGGCGGAGTGATTTCAGTTGCAGAAAGAGTTGCCGGCGCTCAGCGGAGCGCTGTGTGAAGCGTTGGCTATCCTCCTCTGGCCTCACGTTGGTCCAACCTGGGGCGACCGTATCCATGGGGTCGTTTGCTTGTGTGTACCTGTGATGGGTGATTGCAGAGCTTTCATAGAAATGTAAGAAAACTTGGTAGTGGTGGTGGATGAAGAAGAAGCAGTGTGAAGTGAGGGTGAGTTGTGTTTATATAGTAGACAGCGGTCTGCGCAACCATGGTTAGAGAAGGATTAGGAAGAAAACATGGCGAATACGAAAGGAGCTTTCAGAACAGAAGGGAGAAGTGAGCACTGTTGTACCGTAGTTCAGGAAAGAACTCGCGAGAGGAAATGGCCAGTGCGGAGACGTGTATACGGCATGTGCACCTGATCTGCAGTCTTCAGTGTTAAGCGTCGCATCCAGGGCTTCGATGCAGCCTCTTCTCGTCACATGACCTCAGTTCCGGTGGGCTTGTTCAAAGTTGGTTTGTCTCTTGGGGCAAAGGTAGGATATTGTCTTGGAAACGGTCAAAAAGCAATAGCGTAGGAGACATGATTATGGCATCACACTGGTCCCTGATTCTTTCCATCCAGTACAGCTGCTTGGCATGGCAATGATAGGACCTCGCACGACCCGGTCACGGCGGCAATGAAGGTGTTTTCGTGTCTGTCTTTAGCTGATATCACGTGAATTCAGAGCATGGCAATCTTCCTCAAGCAACCAGCAAGCTGGAAGACTCAATGAAAATACCATTCGCGTCGGCTTCAAGAAGTGCGGATAGAAGCGACACTGTGCCGACGAGTGTGAGCAAGCCCAGGGACCCGTCAGCGGGGTGCAAAAATAAGAATAATCTTGAATTTCACCGTAGTGACGTTTCAGAGATTAAACTGAAAAGAACAGATACTACACTTGATCTAAGCCAAAAGGCAAAGAGAGCTAAGGAGCGAGGAAGGGGCGGGGGGACGGCGGGCTTAAGTATGCGCTGGTGGGCGCTAGCGGCTAGGCGAGGGGCCGGCTGTTGCCCGGTCGACCACGGGCGGTGGCGCTGGGCCGACGTCAAAGGTGGGTAGTGGATGCAAAGGGTGGGTAAGAAGAGTGGATGCATAGGTGGGCGCGGGAAAGGGCGGTGAATGAATGCGTGTGCGCAGCAGATGGCGCCAACAAGGCGGTCATGCTATATGTAAGTGTGAGGGTATAGTAGTATGTAGAATAATTGCGTTGTGGTTCCATGGTGCTGTTCGCATTGCACAGTGGGCGCACACATTGTAGTGCACAGCTCAGCTACACAAGATGCAATATAGCGCTGTGCACATGTTCGGTGAGATTCGGCTGGCTGCAGGGCATGATTGGTCGTCGGTGCTGATTAGTCAGCCCCATCGACTTGTGCTTGCCCATCCTGCCCTGCCTCGCCCAAACCTTGCATCAGCCAACTGTCCAACCAAATACTCACCAGACCAAGTAACACAAGTCTTCAACGTAGTCTATCTTCATCCAGCTCCTCAATGCCTCCAAGGATGCCGCTCAACAAAATACCCAGCATCCCTGGAACAAGCCTGCACCAAGCATATACTACAAATCCTCGCAGCCTTTTAAGAACCCCGTCTTCACTATTTCCAAGGCGCATGGGGAGATGACCTTATCATAATATCACATTCCCTCCCCTATAGGAAAAAAAGAAGCTAAACCCTGTATCTCAACAGAAACAAAAAAGGTTAATGTCAGCAAGAAGTATGCAACAGACACGTGATCACGTGCCTGACATCAGGTGATCCGTCCGCCACTTACAGGGGAGTAACCCCCGGTTTTGAGACTTTAATAAAGTGTATTCAAACAAGCATTGGATTTGATATACGCAGAGCCATCTCCATGACTAGCTATTTTGCACCGAGATTCCCATGTATAGGACTCCTTGTGCACAGTGCCTGGTACCTAGGCCAAGGCTGAGCCAAATCCCCAAAGCGCATCCACCATGCGACATGTCTTCGTCCCTGCGTATCGCTGCCATCAAGACACCCAACCAGCAGCGAGACAAAAACATTTCCAGGTCGGTCGTCCGTTATCAAAGCTAGGAAAACACTTCATTGGTGGATAGGAGGCTGCTTATCGCTGGTAATAAAGTTGCCGTCTACATCTTCCTTCACAAACCTTGTCGCACTTTAGTACCAAACTCTGCTTGGCCTACTGAGACCCTCACCTTCACGCCCTGATCACTGACAGCACTGTCATCGCAGTTACTATCAAGACTTTGTGTATATCATTTCTTTGTTTTTACCTTGATTCAAGCTTGATATTGTATATTCATAGTATGCCCAGATATTTCAACCAGCTTCTGTCATCTACTACTCCAAGAAAAAGGGAAAAGAGAAAAGAAACCATATGTTTTATTGAGACTCTCGTTTTCCTTACTTAATAAATAATATCCTAATTCATTCCTACAATCGTTGTCGTGCTCCTTGGACGCAGATCCATTGCCCATTAGTAGCACCGTTTGTGCTGTCTTTATGGCAATCGCTGCCAGTGTACGGATAATCTTTTCTATAATTGTTATAACCAAACCAGTAACGTATGTGGCAAGCGAGCGCCGCAGGCAAGCGAGCGCCGCACCCCACCAAACCTGCGCACCTCTCCTATCTCAACGAACAATGGCTCAACGTAGCGCTACTCAATTAGCTTTGAATAAAGCAGATATTCAGCTTGCTATTTCTTCTATTAATCTCTATTAAACACAAAGTAATTGTCGCGCTGCTGCTGTCTACAACGTGTCTAAACGAACAATCCGCCACCGACGCGCTGGTATACCTGCTCGACGCGATTGCCAGCCTAACTCAAAGAAGCTCACTAAGCTAGAAGAGGAGGTGATAGTTGATCATATACTTGATCTAGATCTACGTGGATATGCGCCCACGTATGCTGCTGTGCGCGATATGGCTGATAAGCTGCTGGCTGCGCGCGGCGCTGGCCAGGTTAGGCAGAAGTGGCCAGCCAACTTTGTCAAGCGTACAGACAGTCTTACGACGCGTTTCAATCGAGCGTACGATAGGCAGAGAGCTCTATGTGAAGATCCAGTCCTAATCAAGAGCTAGTTTGAGCTTGTAGAGCAGACAAAGGCTAAGTACAGCATCTGTGACGAGGACGTCTACAACTTCGACGAAGCTGGCTTCATGATAGGCAAGATCACGACTCAGCTAGTCGTAACAGCGTCAGAGAGGAGGGGCCGACCAAAGGCAGTTGAGCCAGGCAATCGTGGGTGGGTAACGCTGATCGCAGCGATTAACGCAGCTGGCTGGGCAGTTCCGCCATTCCTCATCTTTGCTGGCAAATATCATCTATCCGCCTGGTACGAAGCAGAGATCCCACGCGACTAGGCGATCGCAGTCAGCGACAACGGCTAGACGAATAACGAGCTAGGTGTGCCTAGCTAA